TGCTATTAAGCCTGGTTTCCTCAAGTTTATATGTGTGCTTTTGGTTTTTCTTACCTATGTATAGGAATTTACTTTTCTCTACATTGAATTTCATTTTGTTAGATAGGGCCCAGTGTTCGAGTCTGTCAAGATCCATCTGGATCTTGAGCCTATCTTCTAGGGTGTTAGCTATTCCTGCCAGTTTAGATCATCTGTAAATTTGGTGAGCTCCCCTTCTATTCCCTCATTTAAGTCGTTTATGAAGATATTGAAGAGTACTGGGCCTAAGACGGAACCTTGTGGCACCCCACTGCTTACTGCTCTCCATGTAGACTTAGACCATTAAGGACTACTCATTGAGTACGATTTGTCAGCCAATTGCGAATCCATCTGGTGGTGAAGCTATCTATCCCAGTTTTTTCTAGCTTTCAAAGAAGTAGATTGTGGTCTACTTTGTTGAATGCCTTCCTGAAGTCTAAGTATATTATGTTGACAGTATTTCGCTGGTCTACTAATTTAGTCACTGTAGAAGAATGAAATAAGATTGGTTTGACATGATCTGTTTTTAACAAACCCATGCTGACTGCTACCCTATTTCCCCCCAAATAAGACATCCCCTGATAATAAGCCCAATCGGGCTTTTGAGTGCATGGCAATAAGGCCAAGCGCTTATTTCAGGGTTCAAAAGAGATATAAGACAGGTACTTATTTCAGGAAAACACGGTAGTTATTACTTTACTAGTGTCTAGGTGTTGGCAGATCCGGGTTTTTTATTATCTTTTCCAGTATCTTCCTGGGTATTGATGTTAGGCTGATTGGTCTGTAGTGTCCTGTACTTTTTTTCCCCCTTTTTTGAAGATGGGAACCACATCAGCTCTTTTCCAGTCTTCTGGTAGTTCCCCGGTGTTCCAGAATTTTTGAAAGATGTGGTGCAATGGTTCTGAGATGACATTTGCCAGCTCCTTTAGAACTCTGTAATCCATCAGGTCCTGGTGATTTGTATTCATCAAGATCAGACAGGTGTTCTCTTACTATTTTTTTTGTTTATTTTAACTTTTATTTCCAGACTGTTTTTTACAGTTATGTTTCTGGTAGGTTGGGCTATAGTTTCTTTTTGCGTGAAGACTGATGCAAAGAATGAGTTAAGCAGCTCTGCTTTCTCTCTATTGCCTGTTACTTCCTCGCTGTCTTCTCTCTTTAGTGGACCAACTGTTCCCTTGATTTTTTTTCTTGTTATTTATATGTTGGAAGGAACTTTTTTTTGTTATCTTTGACTTTTGTTGCAAGTCTTTGTTCATTCTGAGCCTTTGCTTTCCTGACTTCGTCTTTGCAGATGCTGGTTGTCTGCTGATATCCTTCCTTAGTTACTGTATGTGTCCCTCTTTCCATTTTTTGTACTTGTTCTTTTTGTCTTTCAGTTTGCCAGAGAGATCTTTGGGCAGCCATGCTGGTTTCTTCTTGGATTTCTTGTTTTTCTTTCTCAGCTGTATTGTGCTTGTGTGGGATTTTATGATCATATTTTTCAGAGTTTCCCAAGATTCTTGAGTTGTTTTCCCCTTTAGGATTTTCATCCAAGGAATCTTTCCCAAGTTCTCTCTGCTCTTTTAAAATCTATGACTCTGATATCATTTTGTTCTGCTGCTTGTGTTTGCATTATGTTGAATTCTAGTATGACATGGTCACTCTCACCCAGGATTCCTGCAGTTTCAACTCCCTCTATCACTTCTTCTCTGTTTGTAAGTATTAAGTCCAACAAAGTTGTCAGCTAGGTTGGTTAGGAATCTATTTGATTTTTCACTTGGTGCAGAATTACTTTTCCAATTGATATCAGGGTAATTGAAATCCCCCATTACTATTGTAGTGTGTTTCCTACATATGTTTGTTAGTTGGTTGGCAAAAAGGATATCTATTTAATCTGCTTGATTGGGTGGCCTATAGTATATACCTATGGCCATGTCATTCTTTTTGTCTTTTATGTTGACCCATATGCATTCTAGGAGGTTTTCATCTTTGGTTTCATGCAATTCTATAGCAATATAGTGGTCCTTTACATACAATGCAACTCCACCTCCTCTTTTATGGGGTCTGGTTTTTTTGAAGAGTTTGTATCCTTCTATCAGTATATTCCAGTCATGGGTTTTGTCCCACCAAGTTTCTGTTATTCCTACTATGTCATATCTTCCTTCATGTATTAATAGTTCAAGTTCACCCTGTTTGTTCCCCAGACTTTGTGCATTTGTATATAGGCACTTGAGATCTTTATGCCTGACTCTGGGTATGCTTCCTAGCTCCTATTTGGTATTTGAGTTTGTCTTCCTTCCCATCCCTCCTTACTTCATTATTTGCCTTGCTTTCTAAGGGTTTTTGTTTGGAATTAGGTCCTGGAGATCCTAAAGACTGGTCACCCTCCCTCCTCAATTTTAGTTTAAAGCCCTCCTGATAAGTTGAGCCAGTTGTTTTCTGAAAACATTGTTCCCAGTCTTTATGAGGTGCAATCCATTCCTTGCCAAAAGCTCATCTTGGAGGTAGTATAGACCATGGTTTGGATTCGTTTTTTTGGCAACACCAATCCTTTAGTTAATGGTTCATTTCTAGAATTCTTTGTTCTCTTGCTGGATGTTGTCCTTTCGTTGGCAGTACAGATGAAAAAACTACTTGTGCACCTAAGTCCTTGACTTTCTTGCCTAGCTGCTCATAATTATTCAATATTGTTTTCAAGTTCTTTTTTGTGTCATTTGTCCCTACATGTAGTAGTAGAAAGGGGTAATAGTCTGTTGGTTTTATTATTTTGGTTAGGTTCTCAGCCATATCTTTGATTTTAGCTCCAGGGAGACAACATACCTGTCTGGATTGACTGTCTAGTCTACAGATGGCAGGTTCTGTTCCCTTGAGAATTGAATTTCCTATCACCAACACTCATCTTTTTTTTCCTAGGGAGGTTTGTGGTGTTTTTCTATTTATCACATTCGGTGGTGCTACTTTTTTAGGGACATTTGATGGTGCTTCTTCTCTATGTGTCTGTATGTTTTCTTCTAGTGAGAGTCCATGATATCAATTGCTTAGCACCAGTGGGGCTGCTTCAGATTAGGTTGGTTTGGACAGGGGTTTTGTACTAGGTTTGTGTGTTTTTCTATGACTGACATGTTTCAATCTATCTTTTTCCTCTAAGGGGTCAACTCTTTTAGAAGCTGTTTGGTCATTATTATGTTCAGTTTGGGCATATTTTTTTTGCAAGGTTTGGGGTTTCTCATTTTGTAGGTCAAGTTTCAGAGTGGTTAGAGTTTCTTCTAGACCCTTTACTTTTTCTTCTAGTAATTTGATTAATTTACATTTGGTACATATGTAGTTTGGGTATTCTATGGGCATATGTATATACATGGAACATGTTCTACAGATCACAATAGTATCAGTTTCTTCTTCCATGAGTGGGTTTACAAAAAATTGAGAGTGAAAGTGTAGAGAGTTCGTTCTTAACCTGTACTGGAATGTTCTTTGATTGTCCCTTCCTTCTTGGGATCCTTTCCCTCCCTGCTTTCTTGTGGGCTTGATTTATCTCTTACTTCTCTGCCTTTATGTGTTCTGTATTTGGGATTGCCTACTGGCCTTTGATTTTCTTTTGCCTTGTGTCCTGTGTTGTCTTTTTATCCTCCCTTCCTACTTGTTTTTCTCCTGTCACTGTCAGGTATTCAGCTCTCCCTGCTTTTCTCAGTTCCACCCCCCCTCACCTGTGGGTCTCCCACGCTGTTCTGTTGCCGTTCTCAGTCACCAGTTCACTGATCCACTGTGCTGAAATGCTCCACCAACACCAGCAGCCTCCGGTTGCACCAATGCTCTCCTGTTGTTTTCCACGGTCCTCTCAGGATCTGCTTCGTTGTGCTGCCACTCGCTGTTGGCTCTCCCATCTGCTGTGCTGCCACTGCTCTTGTCTCCTCATCATGTGGCTCCTGTTTGTGCTGCTTCTCCCAGTAACAGGACCACCCAGATTGTCCATGGCATGCTCGCCTCTTGTCTCCTCTCCACAGCCAGTTCTTCTCCTCCTCCTCCCTGCTCCTCTTTCTCTCTCACCGGCTCACCTTTTCCTTCTCTGCCAGTTGTTGCTTTGCCCTCAGTCCGCTTGCCTCTCTGCTCCACAGCTGGGCTCCACTCACTCGCCGGCTCGCCTCATTGTTCTCTGCCAGTGTATTTTGCCTCTCCACTCACCTCACTTCAATAGGCCTCCATGCTCTTGGGTAGGCCTCTTGGGTGCAGCTGGGCTTCTCTTAGCTTGCCAAGTTTGCTGTGGATCATTTTCCTCCTATTTCTCCAGTCTTTCCTCTCCTTTTCCATTCTCCTCTTATTTTTCTTTCTCTATGATTTATTCTATGATTTGTCTTTCCCTCTCCACCTCTCCTCCTATCATTTATCTTACATTAATAGCAACTTTTCTCTTCTTTTAACTCCCTCCAATGTAACTATGTTTCCTCCATTGCCGCCATCTTGAATCTTGAACTGCATTGATTATCAGTCTGCTTCCAGATGTAATTCAAAATTTAAAGCCATTCATGGCATGGGTCCTTGAGGGACTGTCTCACCCCACTGGGATTGGCCCATACTATTGTGCCAGCAGAGGAGGTATGCTGTGGTTCCTGTCAGTCTGATTATTTCAGCTGACAGGGTACAGGAGGAGGGCCTGCTGTTGCTCTTGCGCTCTGGAACATCTTGTCCCCCAATGTGAGGTTGGCTCCAGCCCTCCCATCCTTTCATCAGGGCCTAAACACCTAGCTCTGTGAATTGGCCTGAGGCTCCAATAGCAGAACAGCATATTGGAGGTGGTTGATTGAGTAATCACCTCCCTCCACTCTACCCCTGTCTTCCCCATGTGTTCTTGATTTTAATGCCTGATTTTAACTTTTTATGTTTTAACTGTGTATGTAACCATAAGATTCCCAGAGATACCTTATAATAAGATGGATGGCCAATAAATCAATTCAATCAATAAGTATTGATTGGCAATGAGATCAAGATAGATTAAAGAGAAGTACCTGGATATCTTCTCTAATGAACAAGCTGGTCAACAGTGTGGACAAACCTGGCACCACACAACTCTGAGCTATTAATCCAAGCTTGAGTTCAGCAAAGCAGATGATACTATCACCTTTTCTCAAGTCCCATCCAGGCAGTTTTGGCAAGTAAACCTAATTCAGAGGAAATAGAGAGCAACATATAAAAAAACAACAACAGCAGAATCATACATTTGGAACGTCACCAGCAGGGAGAAAAACATTGTCCAAGAGTGTCATTCTTGGGAAGACTAAGGTATTATGATTATATATAGTTCGAATTCATTCACTCTCTTTCATAAATTATATATAATAGTATAATATTATATTTATGAAACAGTGTGCCAAGGTTCTGAAACAACTTTTTTTAATTATAAAAATTAGATTTGATTTCTAAATCACTTAGCATCATGAATGTATAAAGTTTAACGAAGACTTGGAAAACATGTAATGTTTCATCATAACTCATTCATAAACACCATTGGTGTCAGTAACAAGTGAGGGGAGGAATAAGGATAAAGGACAACAGAATAACAGAGTTGGAAGGGACCATGGAGGTCTTCTAATCCAATACCATGCTGAAGCAGAAAATGCTACACCATTTCAGACAAATAGTTGTCTAATCTCTTCTTAAAAACCTCCAGTGATGGTGCACCCACAACTTCTGCAGGAAACTTGTCCCACTGATTAATTGATCTAACTGTCAGGAAATTTCTCCTTAGTTCTAGGTTGACTCTATCCTTATTAGTTTTCATCCATTGCTTCTTGTCCTGCCTTCATGTGTTTTAAAAAACTCTTAAAAATATCACTTGTTATAGCAAACCTCCTTCCCAGGCTGAAGGAAATCAGCAACTGGCAGATGACCTGAATGTATTTTAGTGCAGTTTGGAAGGAAACTACAGCCACCTATCTCCACAACCCCCATCACAGACACACCAACAACAGCCAAGCCTCCTACAACTGACCCCATCCCATTGGGTTCACAACCCCTAGTGATCGCAGAAAAGGAAGTGCAAGACCTATTTCACAGACAGAAGCCAGGAAAAGCACCAGGCCCAGACAAGATAACTCCTTGCTTAAAAGTCTGTGCTGACCAATTGGCCCCCATCTTCACCCGTATCTTCAATAAATCACTAGAGATGTGCTATGTTCCTTCTTGCTTCAAATGCTCTATTATCATCCCAGTGCCAAAGAAGCCTTCCATCAAGGAACTGAACGACTACAGACCAGTTGCTCTAACATCTGTAGTCATGAAAACTTTTGAAAGGCTAGTGCTGTCCCACTTGAAAACCATCACAGATGTTAGACCCCTTGCAATTTGCATTCCAAGCAAATAGATCGACAGATGATGCTGTTAATATGGCTCTGCACTACATCCTACAACATCTTGAATCTCCAAAGACTCACGCAAGGGTCCTCTTTGTAGACTTTAGTTCAGCATTCAATACCATCATTCCAGTCACACTTCTAACTAAGCTAAACCAGCTACAGGTACCTGAACACACTTGTAAGTGGATCATAAGCTTCCTAACAAACAGGAAGCAGCAGGTGAAGCTAAGCAGAATTGCATCAGATACCTGTACAATTAGCACAGGGGACCCCCAAGGCTCTGTGCTCCCCCCACTTCTCTTCTTTCTATATACCAGTGACTGCATCTCTAATGATCCATCTGTTAAACTACTGAAGTTTGCTGATGACACAACAGTGATCGGTCTCATTCGAGACAATGATGAATCCACATACAGACTGGAGATTGAACAACTAGCCTCATGGTGTGACTGGAACAATCTGGAACTGAACACAATCAAAACCGTAGAAATGGTGGTAGACTTTAGGAGAAACCCTTCCATACTTCCACCTCTCACAATACTAGACAACACAGTATCAACAGTAGAGACCTTCAAATTTCTAGGTTCTATCATATCACAAGATCTAAAATGAACAGCTAACATCAAAAACATCATCAAAAAAGCACAACAAAGAAATTTCTTCCTGCACCAACTCAGAAAACCCAAACTGCCCAAGGAGCTGCTGATCCAGTTCTACAGAGGAATTATTGAGTCTCTCATCTGCACCTCTATAACTGTCTGGTTTGGCTCTGCAACCCAACAAGACAGACACAGACTTCAGAGGATAATTAGAACTGCAGAAAAAACTATTGCTACCAACCTGCCTTCCATTGAGGACCTGTATACTGCACAAGTCAAAAAGAGGCTGTGAAAATATTTACAGACCCCTCGTATCCTGGACATAAACTGTTTCATCTCCTACCCTCAAAATGACGCTATAGAACACTGCACACCAGAACAATTAGACACAAGAACAGTTTTTTCCCAAATGCCATCACTCTGCTAAACAAATAATTCCCTCAACACTGTCAAACTATTTACTAAGTCTGCACTACTATTAATCTTCTCATTGTTCCCACCACCCATCTCCTTCCACTTATGACTGTATGACTGTAATTTTGTTGCTTGTATCCTTACGATTTATATTGATTGTTTCCTGATTGCTTATTTGTACCCTATGACTATCATTAAGTATTGTACTTTATGATTCTTGATGAATGTATCTCTTTTATGTACACTGAGAGCATATGCACCAAGACAAATTCCTTGTGTGTCCAATCACACTTGGCCAATAAAAAATTCTATTCTATTCTATTCTATTCTATTCTATTCTATTCTATTCTATTCTATTCGTTTTGGAGAACAGCTTGACTCTCACTTCTTTGTGGCAGTCCCTTTTTCTTCATGGGACTTATTATACAAAGTTTGTATAATTGAATTGAATTTGAATTTTTAAGTAGTTGCATCAGTAAGTGTGCTGCAGACCTCCATTTTGTCTTAGTGGAAGTCCTTCTTACAACTTCCACAGGGGTTGGTTCTAAAATTTTTTACTACCGGTTCTGAGGGGGTGGCTTATTTTATGGGTGTGGCTTTGTGGTGGGGGTAATGTGATTGGGTGGGCATGGCAAACTTTTTTTTTTACTTTTAAAAGCATTTTTTCTATAACCTTAAGTGGTTGCAGAAAAAAATGCTTTCAGGAGCCACTGACAATCCCAGCTGAGCCACGCAATCATCAGAGGCTTGGTTATTCGGGTCTTCTCCCACGTAAAATTGGAAGTGTCTTGGCGACGTTTCGACGAAGTCTCATTCGTCATCTTCAGGCTGGTGTTCTCGGCTTCGTGCTTCCAGGAGCAATGTGAGATCGCAGCTGTCTCTTCCAGATCAACTCTGTAGCCAAGACACTCATTTCCAGAACAAAACATCGGACAAACCAACAGACGAATAAGTGCACGCATAGAAGAACACAAGAACTCAGTCAGAAAAGAGGAACCAACTTCTTCCCTGGTCCAACACCTTAAAGCCACAGGACATGATATTGACTTTAAAAAGACCAGAACTATCGCCAAAACTGAACACTTTAACAACAGAATAATCAGAGAAGCCATCGAGATAGAAAAACGCCCACACAGCATGAACAAACGAGACGATACCTCCCGCCTACCAGCCATTTGGAAACCTGCCCTTATTGACAAACGAGTCCCTAACACGACGAATGACACCAGACCCACACTCACGAGTGCCACACCTGATGTCACCATCACACATCCACGCAGAAAGCAGACTCAAACCCACACTGATAATGAGCCACGACCAAGGACCAGAAGCCAGACCGCAGCTGCATCATTAGCCACTTTAAACCCCTCCAATCCATACATGAAGCAGACTGACACCCACCACGAAGAGCTCGCACGGCCACAAACACGCAGCCAAACAACAACAACGCAGCTCACCAGCTCAAATCCCCCTGCAACTCAGACTAAGCTGAGCACAACCAAGCCCCCACCCAAACAGAACACACCCCCAGCCAATCAGAGCACAACCAACCCCCCAGCCAATCAGAGCACAGCCAAGCCCCTAACCAATCAGAACACACCTCCACCCAATCAGAACACAGCCAAGTTCCCACCCAATCAGCTCACACCCCCACTAGCAGTTAAAAGGAAGAGACAGCTGCGATCTCACATTGCTCCTGGAAGCACGAAGCCGAGAACACCAGCCTGAAGATGACGAATGAGACTTCGTCGAAACGTCGCCAAGACACTTCCAATTTTACGTGGGAGAAGACCCGACCGGGCCGGGGACCGGTTCGGGGGCGTGGCCAGCCAATGTTATTACTGGTTCTCTGAACTACTACAAATTTTTACTACCGGTTCTTGCAAACCAGTGCGAACCGGGAACAACCCACCACTGAACTTCCAGCCAATTCTCCACTGCTCTGTGAGTTGTACTGGTTACCAGTTGTCTTCCAGATGCAATTTAAGGTGCCAGTTATGTTTAAAGCCCTAGACTGCATAAGTTGAGATATCGCTTATCTTAATTTATTTTTGTAGAGTAGATATCCTCCAGATCCCATCTATCAAAAAATGTCATCTTGCAGGATCCTGGAGGTGTGCCTGCTTAGTTGCAGGACCTGTCCTCCAGATTTAAAATTCATCCCAGAGATTCATGTAACATGAATGACATTCTAGCTGTTTTCCTAGACTATGTATAGACCCTTTTAATTAGTTACTTTAGTTTTCTTTAACTTAAGATTTGGCAACTGTCTTTTCTCTTTTTATATTTGGAAACTGCCCAATGTCATTGAGGAATTGAGTGACATTGGATTTTAAAGAAATAAATATTGGAACCATAGAAGGAGATGGGATATTTTTGCTTTAGAATCTCTGCTGGTGGAAGGCTTGACCATAGGGGTGGCTAAATTAATTCTACAAGACAGAAAAAAAGTTTTTGCTTGGAAAATCTCAGTGGGTGAAGTATGAGCTCTCAAGCTCATAATGAGCTGCTGTATAAATCCAGGGCTGCCTCAAAGATACAAGAAGAAAGAAAGGAGGAGGAAAAAAAACCCAACCTTGTTAGAAGACTGGATGATTTGTATTATAACTCTGGTGTTTGGAAAATGATTCTTGATATATAGTACCCTGCATGAAAAACAAAGCTGTTGTTAGTGTATATTGTGGATAGGGGTGTGCCGGAGTATTAACAGTAAATAATATTAGCTAAACTAAATGAAGAGTGGGAATAAATTTGCCACCAGCATAACTGATGAAGAGCAGCATCAAAAATTTCACATTGGATTAGCTATGGACAAGCATCTATCTTTCACAGACAACTGAGCCCTAGTTTCCAGTCTTTCAATTGTGTCACTTAAAATTGCAAGGCTCTCAGGAAATGCTTCTCCATATTTACTGATTAGCAGTGTAAGGTCTTGCCTCCCCAATCTTCCCAAGAAAGCAGGACTCTTGAAACTGCAGTTGTTCCAAAAGGAGCTTTTATTGAAAGGTTTGTGATAACAAGAGATCTAGGCAAGAACTGAAGCTTTTCACTTAAAACCAGCTATTTAAAGCAATGCTAACCAAACCCCTCCCACACTATATCATTGCAGGGAAACAGAAACAGAAACTTCATATAGAGATTAACACAGTAATGCAGGAAACAGAAACAGAAACTTCACTCCATTCCTCCCCACTTCCTCCCACCAAAATGCCAGTGTCCCTATAGAAATATCTGGGACCTGACAAGCAGAGGGGGAAAAATATTAGAAAACCAGCATGTTGATGAATGAAAGTATTAGATAATGCAGTTTGTTTTGGATTCCAAGAGAAGAAAATAATTTCTAACAAAATATAATCATTGCAACATTTTTTCCTTAATTTTTTCAGTTACTCAAATATATATCTTCATGATTTGTATGCACTCTCATTCATATTCTCTGTCATGCACATATTTTTATACAAATGCAACAAAGTTCTTTAAATTATTGTTAAAAGGCTAACTAGGATTGCTATTTTTGCATCTGTCTTTCCTTTTTGGCACGCCAAAAAGATGGTCTCTGTCTCGGTCTCTGTCTCGGTCTCTCTGTCTCTGTCTCTGTCTCTGTCTCTGTCTCTGTCTCTCTGTCGCTGTCTCTGTCTCTGTCTCTGTCTCTGTCTCTGTCTCTCTCTCTCTCTCTCTCTCTCACACACACACACACACACACACACACACACACACACACACACCAGGGGTGGGTTCTAAAATTTTTTACTACCTGTTCTGTGGCCATGGCTTATTTTGTGGGCGTGGCTTGGTGGGAGGTAATGTGACTGGGTGGGCGTGGCCAACTTTTTTTTTTTTACTTTTAAAAGCATTTTTTTTACAACCTTAAGAGGTTGCAGAAAAAAATGCTTTTAGAAGCTTCTGATGATCAGGGAACTCAGCTGGTATCGCCAGAGGCTTTTAAAGGCATTTTTTTTCCTACAACCTCTTTGGCCAAAGAGGTTGTAGAAAAAATGCTTTTAAAAGCCTCTGACGATTCCAGCTGAGCTGCACAATCATCAGATACTTTTTTTTTTTACTTTTAAAAGCATTTTTTCGGCCGAAGGGGTTGTAGAAAAAAATGCTTTTAAAAGTAAAAAAAAAAACAAAAGCCTCTGATGAGGTCGGCAGGGTAAGCAAGCAGCGACTGGACCGGGAACAGGTTCAAGGGCGTGGCCAGCTAATGTTATTACTGGTTCTCCGAACTACTACAAATTTTTACTACTGGTTCTTGCGAACCGGTGCAAACTGGGAGCAACCCACCACTGACACACTCATATCTCTCTCTCTCTCTCTCTCTCTCTCTCTCTCTCTCTCTCTCTCTCTCTTATCTATCTATCTATCTATCTATCTATCTATCTATCTATCTATCTATCTATCAGTCTGATATTCCAGATACGCTATCTAAACTCCCAATAGCAATAGCCACTATTGGCTAATAATGAGGACCACTGAATGTTACAGTTGGGCAACATTTGCAGAACCATTAAGAACATGACAAGACGGGAGGCGTGGCCAACATCCTGGTGGTAAGACGGACTCCTTGGTTTCTTCCAAGGGGTCGTCGATATCCCTGCTGTCCGAGGGTCGTCAGTGACCTAAGTCGTCCTGTAGGGACAACAAACAAGAGGAGCATGTACCAGTCAACACAGGGAGATCACAATCTCCCTGGAAAGACCGGAAGCTCCCCAAATCGGACAGGGTGGAAGGTGACCTAGAAGTCGCTAAAAACCTAGGACAGCCGCAACAAAAGAGAAAGCAAAGAGACAGCCTGTGACATCGAGGTGAGGATTCTTTTATCTTTTTTACTATTTTTTGAGAGTTTTTTTCTTGATCCACCTGAAAGATTGATAGGGTGGAATATTTTAGCTACGAGGAAGGCAGAAGAAAGCATTTTAGACATTTTACCAGACTTTGAGTGAAGGGGGAAAAAGACTTGGAGATTTGAAATTGGCTTAAAAATGGAATTGGATACTAAGACTTTGACTGAACTGAATGAATGATACTTTGTTTATGAATGGCATAAAAGAGAAACTGACTGGTGAAAGAAACTTTGTAACAACTGTAAAGAGACGAAAGTATTAAAAGTTAACTTGCAGTGCCAACTAGTGGCAGAAGGAAAAAAGATATATTTCTGAAGAAACTGTGAGAACTGACCTTGACATTTTGAATAGAAGATAATAGAACAGCTGTGAAGATTAGACTGAAACTTGCTTTTGAATTTCCTTTCTTTTTTCTGAGCTTTTGGATTGTCTGATTTTTTGGATTTCAATTTTTTTTATTACCTCTTATTTTTTTGGATTGACTAGATTTATGTTTTGAGAATTGCTGGTGGAAAAAGACTTTAGACTCACGCCTTTTATTTTTCTTTCTCTATATATATTTAGAGGGGTTTTTTTTCTTTTTTCACTAGATTTAATGGAATGGGATTTTAAAATATTTTCCCCTTGGATTAAGACTTGAAGAGTCAGAAGAAACCTTTTTTAATTTATTCTATTTCTTGTTGGTTTTTATTATCTTCTCTTTTTTCTTTCTTTTTTTTTTCTTTTTACCAAACCCACTTATTTTTGGATTTTTGATTGTATTCTGACAAGAGGAGTTTTTTAAACTTTTGGAGGGTGGAGGTTGTTGGAAATCTTGGGGGGAGGTTCTCTCTCTCTTTTTTTGTTTTTTTCTTTTCTCTTTTTTTCCCTCTCCATATTACTTTATTTTATTTTAACTAATTCAACAATTGGTTGAATTAGATATTTGGATTACAAATAAACTGCAAGTAGAATACAAAGTATTTGAGAAGAGGAGAAATGAAGAAATTTACACAGCTTGGACTATAAAACAATGAAGGTAAATAAAAAGCCTAGAAGTATACTGCTGAAATCGTTTTTCACAATGATAGAAGAATTAAGTATTCAAGATATTTGGAGACAAAAACACTTGAAAGAGAGACAATACACTTTCTATTCAAATAGACATATATCATGGTCAAGGATAGATATGATATGGATGTCAATGGGACTTACAGAGACTGTGCAAGAAATAAATATTGGTTCTAATATATGGGCTGATCACAGCCCAATTACAATAATATGGAAAGGGCAAAAGAAAAAGACAAGGTGGACTTTGAATGCAACAATTTTAAATGAAAAAAAGTTTCAGGACTTTGCAGAAAAAGAATTGGAAAAGAAAGAGGATACATCACTTCAAAATTTATGGGATACAATGAAAGCATATATCAGCAGCCTAGCAATAACGTACTTGGGAAAAAAGAACAAAAAGAAATGGCAGAATCAAAGAAGATTAGAAGAGGACTATAAGAAATTGGAAAAAGAATTTCAGAAAGATACCTTAAATAAAAAAATTAAGAAATTGATGGAATTGAAAAAAACATGAAATAAATTTGAATGAACAAGAAGCATTAGCAAATAAATTGAGAACAACCAAACAGATTTTTTTTTGAAAATGCAAACAAACCCGGAAGATGGCTAGCATATAAGTTAAGAAAAGACAGGGAGAAGAAAATAATAAAATGTTTACAAGATGGAGAAGGGAAATTACAATATAGAATTGAAAATAAAAAGAAAATAACTCAAAAATATTATGAGCAACTCTACTCTCAAGAGAAGATTCCGGAGGAAGAGATACTAAGCTATTTAGAAAAATCAGATTTGACTATAATATCAGAACAATACAAAGGAATACTAGAAGAAAGAATAACAATGATGGAAGTAACAGAAGCAATAAAAAGACAAAAAAGTGGGAAAGCACCAGGACCAGATGATTTACCAGCGGAGTTATATAAAACATTACAAGAGGTGATCAGTAATATAATGTTAGACTTATTTAATGATTTATTAATAAAGGCAAAAATGCCAGATTCATGGAAGGAGGCATATGTAACACTTATACCTAAAGAAGACATGGATTTACAATTGATAAAAAATTATAGACTGATCTCGTAGTTAAATGCAAACTATAAGATTTTTGTGTCAATAATGGCACACAGACTGAAAAAGCCACTAAATGAATATATACATGCAGATCAAAAATGGATTTTTACCAAAAAGACAAATTAAAGACAATATGAGGATGATTTTAAACACTTTGGAATATTATGAGAACCATTCAGAAAAACAGATGGCATTGATGTTTTTAGATGCTCAAAAAGCTTTTGATAATGTGAGTTGGCAGTTCATGATAAAACAATTACAGAGAATGGATTTTGGGGAGAGATTTATAAATGTTATAAAAACAGTATATGATAGACAATTTGCTAAGATAATGATAAATGGGGAAATGACAGAAAAGATTAGCATAATGAAAGGTACTAGACAAGGATGTCCTCTTTCGCCGTTGTTGTTTATCTTGACATTAGAAGTTTTAAATAGAAATATTAGACGAGATGGAGAGATAAAAGGGATAAAAGTTAAAAAAGAAGAGTATAAATTGCAGGCCTTTGCAAATGATTTGGTATTTATTATAGAGGATCTGCAAATAACAGTTCCTAAATTATTAGAACAAATAGAAGACTATGGGAAAGTCTCCGGCTTGAAAATAAATAAAGACAAAATAAAAATTTTGGATAAAAATATGACAGAAAAACAAAAAAGAGAGATGGAAGAAAATTTGAATATACAAGTAGTGAAAAAAGTTAAGTACCCTGGAGTATATTTAACTTCAAGATGTGTAACAATAAAAGAAGATAATTATTATAAATTAAAACAGCAAATTGAAAGAGATTTGAAAAAATGGAAGAATCTTCAACTATCATTCATGGGACATATTGCACTGATAAAGATGAATATATTACCAAGATTATTGTTTCTATTTCAGACTGTGCCGATAAAAATTGAAAAGACCTATTTTCAATATGTCAATAAGATAATAAGGAAATATATATGGCAAGAGAAAAAGGCAAGAATAAGCATAAGAATGATGCAAGATACAAGATTGAGAGGTGAATTTGGGTTATCAAATTGGGAACTATATTACCAGCCAGCAACTCTGACATGATTGAAGGAATGTGTGGAGTTAAGAAATATAAGGTTGTTAACATTGGAAGGGTATGACTTGCAACTGGGATGGCATGCTTTTTTCTGGTATGGTAGAAATAAGATACACACATATTTTCATAGACACTATGTAAGAAATGCATTATTATTGCATTTCTTACATAGCATCTCACCGCTGGGTGAGATCATCCGTGGTTTTGGGGTGAGAGTCCATCAGTACGCTGATGATACCCAGCTGTACATCTCTACCCCAAACCACCCCAATGATGCCCTTGATGAAATTATCTAGAAACAGACAAACCTCCTTGCCAATTTCGATATTTTAAAAAATTGGTAAGAGGGTATTGGGGGTTCTCCTAATTAAATAAAGGTATACAGCTGTTTAGATCCTACCTTACCTCATGACATTGGAAATATCCTCTGTATAAGGATCAGTGGAACATATATCAGCTAAAATGAGGCATGCTTCAGCATTACCCATCTGTGTTTCAAAGAAAGGAGAGAAGAGAAAATACTGAAATATTATGCCTATGTAATAACTAGTCTTATTAATTGTACTATCTATAATTATATTACATGCCTGAAGATATGGTTGTGCTGGTTGACTTGGGGACCAAATTTGGGGGGCGGGGTTCCAAACTGGAAGTGGATACTAGATTGATGTCAGATTCCACCTCCCCCTACTTGCTGTCTGTTCTCCATCCATCTTTTTCGTTATCATACTGATGCATTTATTTTCACTGTGTTCCTTTGCCATTGTTATTATTTACTTCTGTTCATGGTTGGGCCAGGAGGAGGGGTCCCCCTCATAGAAATGTGCCCACCGGGTTTCCATGCATTTCATCAGCCGAGGGCCCAGGGTAGGGGTGTGGGGGGGTGGCGGTCATTGTAAAGGAAGGTCTTGATTCTAGGGAGGCCACTGTACCTCAGATAGCAAGCTGTGAGTCTCTCCTTGTGAAGTGGGGCCATGGGAGGCAGATGGGCCTGCTGGTTGGGTACCTGGCTCCTTGCTGCATGGCAGCGGCCCTGCCCGAGCTCCTCAACATTATAGCCGGGGTGGCGGTTGATACCCCCAGGCTTTTAGTCATGGGGGATTTCAACCTGCCGTCCATCGGTGAAGTGTCTGAGGTGGCTCGGGAGTTCATGGCTTCCATGATGGCCATGGACCTGACCCAGTTAATTCAGGGCCCCACTCACACAGGAGGAAACACACTGGACTTGGTTTTCGTCTCTGGTCAGTGGTTGAATGGTCTAGATACAGGGGATATAGCCATTGAACTCTTGTTATGGTCAGACCATTCTCTCCTTAGGCTTGACTTTCTGACCGCTACACCCCACCGCAGGGAGGCGGAACCGACCGACCAGGTGGTTCCGCCCCAGGATCCTGATAGGTTCTGAATGGAGCTTGGGCCATTTCCTGAGACTCTGGCTCACGACTCAACAGAAGACCTGGTGGCCGCCTGGGATAGGGCGGCCACTGGTGCTTTAGATCAGGTCGTGCCTTTGCGGCCTGTGACCTGGTGCCGAATCGGCCCAGCTCCTTGGTTCTCCGAGGAGCTGAGGGGGATGAAGCGCCGGAAAAGACACCTAGAGAGTAGTTGGAGGGATAGTCGTTCCAAATCTGACCGTACACTAGTGAGGTCTTATATCAAGACCTACTTAGTGGTGATAAAAGCGTCGAAGTGTAACTACTTTTCCACTCTTATCGCGTTGGCAGATAATCGCCCAGCTGCCTTGTTTAGGGTGACCCGCTCCCTTCCCCATCTGGGAGCGCGGGAAGACCCCTTGCAAGGACGTGCTGAGGATTTTGCGCATTATCTGCACGATAAAATTGCTCAGATTCGGGAAGGGTTGGACTCTGACTGGGTGGGTACAGGCGGGTTGTCCGAGGTGTGTCTTGAGAATGTTATCTGGGATGAGTTTGACCCTGTGACCCCCGAGGACGTGGACAGGATGCTGGGGAGGTTGTACACAACCACATGTTTATTGGACCCGTGTTCCTCCTGGTTGATGCTGGCTACCCGGGAGGTTACACGAGGCTGGCTCCAGAAGATTATAAACGCTTCCTTGAGTGAGGGTTTCTTGCCTCCTGACTTGAAAGAGGTGGTGGTGAGGCCCCTCCTCAAGAAGCCCTCTCTGAACCTGGCTGTTTTGGCAAACTATTGTCCAGTTTCCAACCTTCGCTTTTTGGCGAAGGTTGTTGAGAGTGTGGTGGCGCGACAGCTCCCGCAGTACCTGGATGAAACCGTCTATCTAGATCCATTCCAGTCCGGCTTCAAGCCCGGGTACAGCACAGAAACGGCATTGGTCGCGTTGGTTGATGATCTCTGGAGGGCTCGGGACAGGGGTTTCTACTCTGTTCTGGTCCTATTAGACCTCTCAGCGGCTTTTGATACCATCGACCATGGTATCATGCTGCGCCGGTTGGAAAGGTTGGGAGTGGGAGGCACTATTTTATGGTGGTTCTCCTCCTATCTCTCCAACTGGTCGCAGTCCATGTTGCCTGGGGGGCAGAGGTCGACCTAAAGGCACCTGGTTTGTGGGGTGCTGCAAGGGTCGGTCCTCTCACCTCTCCTGTTCAACATTTATGCGAAGCCGCTGGGCGAGATCATCCATGGTTTTGGGGTGCAGTGCCATCCGTATGCTGATGGCACCCAGCTGTACATCTCCACCCCAGACCACCCCAACGATGCCCTTGAAGTGATGTCCCGGTGCCTGGAGGCTGTGCGGGTCTGGATGGGGAGGAACAGGCTCCGAGTCAACCCTTCCAAAACTGAGTGGCTGTGGTTGCCAGTGTCCCGATATAGTCAGCTGGTGCCACAGAGAGGGTGCGTAACTTGAGTGTCCTCCTGGATGCACGGCTGTCTTTAGAAGAGCATATGACGGCCGTGGCCAGGGGGGCTTTCTATCAGGTTCGCCTGATACGCCAATTGCGCCCCTTTCTGGATCGGGACTCCTTATGCACAGTCACTCATGCCCTCGTCACTTCCCGCCTGGACTACTGCAACGCTCTCTACATGGGGATCCCCTTGAGGAGCACTCGGAGGCTCCAACTGGTGCAGAATGCGGCCGCGCGGGTACTTATGGGGGCGACATGGCGCTCCCATGTGACACCTCTCCTGCGCAAGCTGCATTGGCTTCCAGTGGTCTTCCGGGTGCGCTTCAAGGTATTGGTTCTCATCTTCAAAGCGCTCCATGGCTTAGGGTCCGGTTATTTACGAGACCACCTTCTGCCACAGATATTCTCCCACCGGCCAATACGCTCCCACAGAGAGGGCCTCCTCGGGGTGCTGTCGGTCAGGCAATGTCGGCTGGTGACCCCCCGGGGAAGAGCCTTCTCTGTGGGGGCACCCGCCCTCTGGAATGAGCTACCCCCAGGGATACGACTGATCCCGGACCTCCGGACCTTCCGCCGGGCCCTGAAGACTTTTTTATTTCTGCAAGCTGGGCTGGGTTAAAAAAAAAAAAATGGTGAATTTTATGGGTAAGGGGTTTTTAAATTGAGGGAACCCAAAGAAAAATTTAATTTTGTTTTATACTATTTTAATGTTTATATTGCATGTTTTTTAATTTTGGCTGTTCACTGCCCCGAGTCCTTCAGGAGAGGGGGCGGTATAAAAATTTAATAAATAAATAAATAAATAAATAAATAAATAAATAAATAAATAAATAAATAAATGTCTTTTCATTTTTATTCCTTTTTATTATTGTAAACTGCCTAGAATAACCCCATGGTGAGATAGGTGGCAAATAAATTTAACAAACAAACAAACAAACAAACTGTATTTTCCAAGAAAACTAAATAGAATTGCAACTCATGCCAGGCAGATATATTGTCATATTTCTTCATGCTTGCTTTTATTTCATTTGCTGGAAAAAACAATTCTTCCCAATAACTATGTTTATGATGGAGTTACAGTGTTCTTCTTATCTGAATTACATGGTGGTCAGAAGTGTGTGTGAATGTCCTGCCCTTATTATATAACCCCAACACTTCATTTGGCATCTTCCCTGGCTTCCAAGACTTCTTTGAAATGCAAAGAGAAGATATTCAGCAGGAGTTCTTCCTGTCCAGACATTCTTTTTCTCACTACCGTAAATCTGGTATAGGATATCACTATAATCTAAAGGTTATATATGTGCAGCTGTAACCATATTCTCAATTTACAGAAATGTATTTGATAATCCTTCCTTTGACAGATTGACATGGTGTCAGACTTGAAAGCCATCTTTTACCTTTGAGCCTTCAGGCCTGCCTCATGGTGCTTTCAGAGGTATAAAGCACGAGTTGCTTCTATGTAAGTATAGCTTGTATAATTTAAGGCAGAATATCTATGGAGATTCTCAGTCATCCAGGTAATGGTTGTTCCAAAGATGCTTTTTCAAGAGGCAACTTTGCAATTAACATCCATTGTGCATGATTAGTACATCTGTCAGATATAGTTAGTGAAGAAAAAAGTGACAAGTTCTGTCACTCCATGTGCAAAGTCTTAGTGATATTAATGGGAGAATAATCTTCTCTAGCATTTTACTGCAGAAGCCAGTTTTAGGGATTACAGTATACACAGGCACACCACATCCTCCTTCAACATGTATGTCTGACAAAGAATCATCTATCCCAGTCTGTCTAATGTTTATACAGGACTGTAATATACCATCAAATGCTATCCTTACGTTAACTCTCAGAAGATCCTTATTATTCATGACAGAACCTTGGAAAAAACTGGTATATGCAGTGTAACATCTGAATACAGTTTCTAGTTCCAGAGAGGGAGGGTTTCTATATTTGGAGAGAGAAGAAAACCAACTATTAATTCTTGAGAAAATAATTATTCTTCCATATAGCTACCTATGGGAGGTACAGATCTTGCATATATGTTCAGTGACTACTTGAGTCATGCAGCCTTAGATTTATTGTTGTGATCTAACTCTATGTAATCCTGCTATTCCAAAGCACTCTGTCCAAAGAGTAAATCCCGTTAAACAGGATGGAAGTTGTTTCAGTTTCCAAAAACATAGAAATATATAAAGCAATGTTCTATGGCTTTATTGGCTGTATGTTTGACAACACTCTGCTTGTGTATATTAACACAAATGTGTAATGCTCCTTCATAAGAAGATGACACTTCATCAACTCAGAGGCTTACTTTGGGAAGGGATAAATCAGAGGTTTACTTTGGGAAGGGGGAAGAACTATAATTCTCCAACCCTGTCATACATACTTAAAGACAGCCTAAGAAGGACAATGCATTTAAACTAGTGCCTTTCCAGGGAAATATTTTTCCCTGGAAAGGCACTAGTTTAAATGCATTGTCCTTGCATTTAAACTGCATTTAAACTACAAATAAACTGTATTTATTTCAGTTCAAACTTACCAGTCTGGAGGGTCTAGGACAGGGGTGTTAAACTGGATTTCTTCAAGGGCTGGATCATCATTGTAATTCTCCTCCACAGGATGGCTGGGAGGTGGGGGGAGTGGGGAGAGACAGAATGGATGCCTCCTGCAGCACTCTGCCAGCCAAAATGAGGCACTGGGAGACCGTTTTGGCAGGCAGAGTGCGGCAGGAGGCCATCCAGGCCAAAAATGGGGTGTGGCGGGTGCATGTCAGTGGTGGGTTGCTACCAGTTCGCCCCGGATTGGGCGAACTGGTAGCAACGGTGGTGGGAGGCTCCGCCTACCCACCCGGATGTCTCTGTGCATGCGCAGAAGCGTCACACATGTGCGCAAGCATGCATGTGCCCACAAGCGAACCACTAGCGATGGGATTTGAATCCCACTACTGGTGCATGTACCCCCCAGTGCCCCATTTTGGCTGCCAGAGGCACTGTGGGCCAATCCTTTGCTATTTCTAAGCTGGCTCTGAGGGCCAGATTTAAGCACCCTGTGGGCCGGATTCAGCCCGCAGGCCTTGAGTTTTACACCCCTGGTCTAGGACAATTGGCTCTAACCAACTTGCCACAGCCAACTCATTATGGCCAACTCTCTGTGGCCAACCTGCCATGGGACAACTCACCACAGGACAAGAATTAAACTAATATCAAAGAAATAGTGGAATAGAGCCATTAAAAAGAGGATGCAAACGGAGGAACAAAATGAAATGTGAATGACAAAAAATAAAATATTTTAAAAAATATTTTAAATGATTAAATTGAATTGTTGAATTGTCCCATGGTGAGTTGGCCATGCCAGAGAGAGTTGTCCCATTCCACAATCTGGAAATGTCCTAACAGGAAAAGCTCCTTCCTTATGACTTCCTTTTGGATATAACTGAAGTATAGGAAGCCAGGGGAGGTAATACAGATTGCTGAAAAGAAGATGGATAGTGAAAGAAGCAGACATCCATTGGTCACCTTAGAACTTTCTTGTCTGTGAGTATTTTACCAAAAATTAACTCCTTCATTTTTAAAACCAAAGTCTCTTTTGTCAAATAGAATCAGTACAATAGGGAACAAATAGAGAAATGCAGGGCTTTTCTTTTCTTTTTTCTTTACTCTTCACAGTGGGTTTATCCACAATTTTTTTTGTTGCATTTTCCTGGTTTGGAGAAGGAATTGCCTATAGGGTTTAGATAAAATAGCACTGTAATACTTACTCTCCCAGAAAGACTATATCACTGGCAATGTCTCCTTTCTCCTGAGCTAGGAAGTCACTTAAGAAAGCAGTCACACTGCTCAGAGTGATATTGCCACAAACAACAATAAACCTATAGAAAGAAGAGAAGTTCGCTGCTCACTGTTTTGTTTTCAAGAAGCAAGACAAGAATTGGCATCTCACTCATAAAACAGTGGATTTTATTTAACAGTGGTATTTTTGTTATTTTCCAAACTGTTCTGGGAGAAGGTATGCTATAGAAATAAAAATAAACATAACAGCAAATTGGCTATGAGAAGTGCAACCACTGATCAGGGAAAGCGCCAGTGGTGGGTTTCAATTTTTTTTACTATCGGTTCTGTGGGCGTGGCTTGGTGGGCGTGGCTTGGTGGGCATGGCAGGGGAAGGATACTGTAAAATCTCCATTCCCACCCCACTGCAGGGGAAGGTTACTGCAAAATCCCCATTTCTTCCCGATCAGCTGGGACTTGGGAGGCAGAGAATAAATGGGAGTGAGGCCAGTCAGAATTTCTACTACCAGTTCTCTGAACTACTCAAAATTTTCACTACCAGTTCTCCAGAACTGGTCAGAACCTGCTGAAACCCATTTCTGGAATGCGCCTCTTGTGTATTAATAGCTGAAACTGACGTCATTTTTTAATTTGGCTAGGCTATTCTGTTGGTGTTTTTTTAAATGGTGTGTGCTTTTTCAGGTAGGTCAAACCACTTTTGGAATTGAAAAAAACTTTTAAGTTTTAAAGTTAAAGATTTACAATTTAAATGGGTTGGCCTTTAAAGAAACTAGGTTCTACGGTTCCCACGATGGTCATATTCAGAAGAAAACATTCAATAAAATGGTTGTATGCTAACCATGCCCCCAAGTGATTTATAACATTCATAATCATGAATGAGAGAGATGTCAGAATGGTACTTGCCATTTTATTCCTATGGCCTAGCATTGTCCTGAGGTAAATATAGGATATAAGAAATAATGTGAATAAAAGAAATAACCATACCAAGTCAAATACATAAAGTCAGATACATGAACTCTGAAAAACCTTCTCTATTGAACTCTGAAAGACCCTCTCTATTCACATTATTATAAGAGAGAAACGTGCTTGTTAGAGGCAGCTGAACTTCATTATTGGCAATAGATCTTCTGAGAGGATGACTTAGCTGTCATCCATCAGGAAAGCTAAGAATGGTGTTCTGGTGAATGACAGACTCGGATAAAGAGAAGAAGCTAAGCAATTAGTTCATGGATTTCCTCATAATTACTTGACCTATGACACTGTGTCAAACACACTGATCCTATATATCTTCTTAATAGAATCAAACCTACGGAAATACAGATATATGTGAACATCTGAAAGGACATACATGGGAAACAGAAAGTTACTTATTGTTTAAAGTATAGCCATAAATTTCTGTATTTAAACATTACAGCACTTAAAGGAAAGTTGTAAACTATAAAGTGATGGGTTAGTAAAGTTATAATGGTTTAATAATTAGTAAAATGATGGAGTAGTAAAAATGTGTAGCCAAAATAATTTTATTAACTAGCATGTAATGGTTTGGTAATTAGTAAAGTGTAATGTAAGTATAATGTATTTATAATGTAACCATATATGGAAGCCGGAAGGGCTCATAGAACTCCTTGTCTTGAAAACATATATAAATCGTGAAATCATAACTCGTCTTTGTTCAGTTTTGCAAGAACCAAACACTGCACTGAACCTTTGCGCAAATAAATGCATCTGTCTGACCCAGGAATGTTTTCCAGCCTTTCATTTCTATAACAGTCCTGTGATCCCTGAATACCTCATGCTTATAATGCAGACAATATATTTGGAAAGAAAAAGAACTGAGCTCAAGAAAGGTTGATACTTGTAAATATGTGATAGGGAAGAAGAAGATAAGGATCCTCCTTGTTTCAATGCATAACAATACAGCAATTAAAACTGGAATTCCAGTCTAAAGTAAACTAAATCTCAAGGCACAGTGGCTCAGTGTCTTAATGAAATTGGAGATGATCTCAGTTCTGGTGGTTCAAATCCGAAGCACTGCATATCAAGGTGAGCTTCTGTTACTCAGCTTAGCTTCTATCCATCTAACAGTTCAAAAGCATGTTCATTTCAGGAGGGAAATGAGTGGTGCTCTGTGAAGGCAGTTAGATTCCTGACAGTTCTGAACCTTCCCATTTGCAGTGCTTGTTTGCGAGGCAACTCCAGGAAGAGGGGAGGCAAGAGTGAAATGCTCCTGGTTCGGACCGGATCAGCCGATCCATTAGCGATGGCAGTGGGTAGTTCGGAGAACTAGTAGCAAAAATCCCTGCCTCCCCCCATGCCCACCCAATCGCTCAGTCCCCACTTGCCCACTTGGCAGCTTGCTGCTTCTTTTGGGCTCGCTCGCTTTTCCGGACTTGCTTCGCCTGCTGCAATCAATTACATCAGCTAGGAACTCAATCTGCCTGCCTGCAATCAATCCAATCGGTGAGCAACTCAATCTGCCTGCCTTGTGCCTTCAATTTGGTAAGTAACTGGGGGGTTTTTTTGTGGGGGAGGGAAGCTTTAAAAAATAGTTATTTGGGTTTTTTTAGGATTTTTTTTTAGACAAAGCAATTTAAAGTTAAGGAAGTTTTAAATTTATCTGCTTTTATCTAAAAATATAAATAAAATAAAATAATAAAATAAAATATTTGGGCAGCTTACTGAGATTTGGTGTGTTTCTGTAGTGTTTCACTCTAACTACACAAACACACAAAATTTCACAAAGCTGTATGTGGCATTTTGTGTGTGTAAAGTGTGAAAGTTGGTTTTTGAGCTTTTTGTGGCTGTGTGAGGTTCCTGCTTGTTGCAGGGGTCATTTTGGGTCAAGTGCAGCTGCTTTTACATTGTGTGTGAGGTCAGTTGTGTTGTGTGTGTGTAAAGTGTGAAAGTTGGTTTTTGGTACCTCTTATTGTTTTGTGTACTTTGTTTATTATTTTTATTATTTATTATTATTGGCCACGCCCACCCGGTCACCTAACCACCAAACCACATCACTGGGTCACCTGACCACCAAGCCATGCCCACCAATTAAGCCACGCCCACAGAACCGGTAGGAAAAATTTTTAGATTTCACCCCGGGGGGGGGGGGGCTGTGTGATGCTGCAGGAAGAGCCACTTGTCTGTCTCTCTGGTATGAAGCCACTTTACCCTCCTGTAGTACACCTTGGGAAACACACAAGCATGTCCTGTAAAGTGGTTGGTATCTTGGCAAGCCAAACTACTACTCTGTAGTAGCATTGTGATTTCCTGGCTACTGTAATAATACCACTAATAATAACTAAATCCTCATTTCAAGGATGGAAGGATACATCACAACTGATCTTGCTTTCTTCCTTAGCTTTGCAAATTTCAAAATGAAATAAAATCAAAAATATCTTAAAATGTGCAGTCATTCTGATGCATGCCCCTCTTAAATCATTTATTTTCCCTGTTTCCAAACAGGGCTGTCTGATATAGTTTCTCTCTCTCTGTCTCTCTGTGTGTATATGTTTGTGTGTGTCTGTGTGTATGTATGTATATGTATATGTATATGTATATGTATATGTATATGTATATGTATATGTATATGTATATGTAAAGAGCCGAGGTGGCGCAGTGGTTAGAGTGTAGTACTGCAGCTACTTCAGCTGACTGCTAGTTCAGCAGATCAGCGGATCAAATCTCACCGGCTCAAGGTTGACTCAGCCTTCCATCCTTCCGAGGTGGGTAAAATGAGGACCCAGATTGTTGGGGGCAATATGCTATTTAGTATACTGTCTTTGGTTTAAGCTGCCCAGAGTCCTCGGAGAGTGGGTGGCATAGAAATATGAATAATAAATAAATAAATAAATAAATAAATATGCATATGCATATATATGTATGTATCTATCTGTCTGTCTGTCATCTGTCTGTCTGTCTGTCTGTCTGTCTGTCTGTCTGTCTATCTATCTATCTATCTATCTATCTATCTATCTATCTATCTATCCTTCCTGTTGGTGCAGTGGTTAAATGCAGTATTGCAGGCTAATTCTGCTCACTGCCAAGAGTTCTACCCTGACCAGGTCAAGGTTGAGTCAGCTATCCATCCTTCTGAGGTAGTAAAATGAGCACCCAGATTGCTGGGGTCAGTATGTCTGTAACCCACTTAGAGAGGGCTGTAAAGCACTATGAAGCAGTATATGTCTGTTATTACTACCTTTTTATAGAGTTTTATTCACAAAGCAAATGTGTTTGTATAGTCATGTTTTTTTCCAGTTTGGAAATCATATGTAATAGTTATTCATTTATTTATAAAAAATATCTTCCACTTTGTCCCCCTTTAAAAGAATCCCAAAGCAAGGAACATATTTTGCTTTCTTGCAGTAAATTTGACTATGATGCTGGATTAACACATCTCTTGTTTTTACAAAATACATTATGAGGCAGTGTAGTGCAATAGTTATAATATTGTTAGATAATGAATGCCAAGTTCATCCTACCCCTACTGAATGATAACTCTCTTTGTTTCAATACAATCTACCTCAAATGATTATTTTTATGAGGAGGAAAAAATAGGATGGTCTATGATGATTGCAAGGTTGGTTAATGAATAAAACCTGATTTCTGAAATGAACTATTATCTCAGTTTGCATAATACTTTAAACTATCCAAACAACAATGTTAGTACAAAAGCACCAACCATGTCTAACAATAATAAAGCTTAATATGGTATTTAAATATTGGGCCTGGTTGATTAAGTATATCATGTGAAAAAACTCAGTCATTTGGAATAAATGTCCAAATTAAGAACTATAAAAATGCAAGGAGGATAACATAAAGATTACTTACTTTCTGCCTTTCACATATACATAGGAACCCATGTAGACTCTTCTGCTTCCAACAATGTCTACTATCTCAGGCACCAAATTTGCAAAGAGGATCTAGGCAATGGGAACCCAGTTTCAATAGTTTTCCAAGATTCATATAAAATGGTTTTTTTTCCCACAGCAACTCAAAATGAATCAACGATTGACAAGAAACAATGGATGGAAACTAATCAAAGAGAGAAGCAACCTAGAACTAAGGAGAAATTTCCTAACAATGAGAACAATTAATCAATGGAACTGCTTGCCTTCAGAAGTTTGGATGCTTCCAACATTAGAGGCTTTTAAGAAGAGATTGGACAGCCACTTGTGTGGAATAATGTAGGGCCTTGAGCAGGGGGTTGACCTAGAAGACCTCTAAGGTCCCTTCCAACTCTATTATTCTATATCAGGAAAAGTGCATATTCATTTTTAAAAATAATAATAATAATGGATAATTCAGTAATTAGCCTTTTCCAACCTATTCTCCAAATTAATGGACTAGAGTTCCCAGAACTCAGACTTAGTATGACAGTTTACTTATTTAAATTTATTGTCAACCCAAATCCAGTGAAATCTAGTATAACTGTTGTCTGTGAAGTTTTGGAATTGTAACCCAAGAGATCCGGTAACCAGATTGGAGCAAGACAGCAGACCCAATTAAGTACAGCAAAATGCACAAACTGGAAATTATTTCTATCTTAAATTATACATTAGATTTGAATCTGTTTCCTCTGGAAGGAAAAGAGCAACATGTAAATTTGAGGTTTGCACCAATTCATTCTTATAATAATAAAACATGGAATGTTTCAGCCTCAACCTGTTACTATATACCACTTTCTTCTGGCTGTTACATTGAGAGGAATTGTTTGCAGTTGTTATTAGCCATTCATAGGAAAAAAGAGGAATAACAAATATTTATAGATGAAAATAAAACCCACCCTCTATTCCTAAGAGTAACTAGTCCATCAAACAGGTAAAGTAAACTGTGAGTTTCAGTTTCTTTTTTCCAATATTACATCAGTTTCTTGTTAGACTTATTTGGCTAGGCCTGTGACGGCAAACCTATGGCACGCGTGCCACAGGTGGCACGCGGAGCCATATCGGTGGGCACGTGAGCGTTGCCTTAGCTCAGCTCTGGCACGCGCATCTGATTTTCGGGCTTTCCGGGCCCACCGGAAGTCAGCAAACGGGCCATTTCCAACCTCCGGAGGGCCTCTGTGGGGGTTGGGGAAGACCCGTTTTCGCCTTCCCCAAGATCCTAGAAAGCCTCTGGAGCCCGGGGAGGGCGAAAAACGGGACTTCCGGTCTCACCGGAAGTCGGCAAATGGGCCGTTTCCGGCCTCCAGAGGCTTTCTTAGAGCATGGGGAGGGTGAAAAATGGGCCTACCAGGCCCACTATGCCATTGCGTGACAAAAGCAGGGGGGACGCGGGGGATGTGTGTCATGCGGGCATGCGCAGGGGGGCGGGGCACATTGAATTATGGGCATGGGCACATGCACACACGACCCCCCCACGCTCCCCCCACTTTTGGCAAGCAATGGCAAAAAGGTTAGCCATCACTGGGCTAGGCTATATAAAGACTAGGTGTGTGTGTATGTGTATGTGTGTGTGTGTTAACAAAGTCCAATGTTTGTATGGTTTGCATCAGTATATATTTCCTGCAGTTTTCCTCTTACACTTACAATAGAGTGCAATTTTTAAAATAGAAAGTTGCGCTGCAACATTTGTAGAAATATTATCTTTGAACGATTACTAGTTTCAGGATCTGAATATTGGTTTGAAAATGAAAAGAAATGGTAAATTTGTATTAAAATGCCCATCAAATTTTCCCTCAAATCATAAACGTGGCATAAGGAAATTGGCAGTGGGTACAATACATCCATTTGGTGATTTCTCAACAATATCCAGGCCCACCTGGGTGAGCTGTGGTGGCACAGTAATTAGAATACAGTATTGCAGGCTAAAGCTGCCCACAGCCTGGAGTTCAATTCTTACCAGCTCAAGCTTGACTCGACCGTCCATCCTTCCAAGGTCAATAAAATGAGGACCCAGATTGTTGGGGGCAATATGGTTACATTCTAAATCACTCAGAGTGTGCTATAAGGCACTATTGAGTAGTATATAAGTCTAAGCACTATTGCTATCTCTAGAATATCTGGCATAACTCAAAATCTTTAAATATACTGTATATTGATTTTGATTTATAGTTGCTCCGTTTTTTATTCTTTTTTCAGCACCTTTTAAAAAGGGTAGAAATTGTGCTTGAACATACTTATTTACAAGCAACATGATTCTATTGATCATATGGGAAAACTTCTAATATTCCTGATCAACTCTATTGATCACAGAGCAAGATTCCATTATTCCTTATTGTCCATAGTGAAATATTATTCTATTATTGCTTACTTTTCTCTATAAGTGGCACCCCCGCTGTTCTTTAGATTCTCACAATTTCACTGCTGCCACTCTCTGCCATCAGGCTCCACCTCTCAGGCAGCTTTTATGGCAACAAAAATATATGAAGTGAAGCTGACTTAAATGTTCTGTGTTCATCCAAACCCAAATACGTTCCTTACCAGACCAGCAACAATGAAGAAAAGTATGAACACACGTCCTATGGTGGTTTGGACCACTACATCTCCATATCCAACTGTAGACATAGTTACCATGATCAAATATAGGCATTCAAAGTAAGTCAAGTTTTGATGATTGCTGTTATATACCCAGGGATCGCCAGAATTCTCTATCTGTATAATAAATAGTACAATGTAAGAACTGTGGCCAATATAGCAAGACATTGTCATTTGCTGACACCATCCTGGTATGCTTGTGATTAAGTCATTGTTAATTGTAAATTAAAAATAATTCAGAGGAAAAATGTTCTTATGTTCAACAACTTTGAACTTCTTTTGCAAATCATCTGTTGAGATTTTTCCTGAATTAACATGATTCTCCTACTCAGAGCTTTCTTTATTATATCCACTGACTAGGTTGGGTGCATTCTAAACTTGAGTTACTCTATTCACACAGCATAATATGCTCAAATGGGTAAACTATGCCATAATTGAAGGAGATAGTATAGTTCACACAACATGCTAAATACAGGGACTAGGTTCCTGGACTTCTTGTATGTCACAGATCATTCTCATGAAGTCTGTGTTAATTTCCTTTTATTAGACAAGAAAATTTGATTACATATAATAAAATTGGGTTTATCTACAGCATACTGAATCATACAGTGGCCCAAAAACAGTAACTGTGAAAGGGACCATGGAATCCTAGTGGACAATCACTTAAATATGAACCAGCATTGTGCAGCAGCAGCCAAAAAAGCTAATACAATCCTTGGTTGCATAAACAGAGACATAGAATCAAAATCACTTGAAGTATTAATACTGTTTTATAAAACCTTAGTAAGACCACACCTGGAATACTGCATCTGACCAGGAATACTGGAATACTGACCAGGTTTGGTCACCACGTTACAAAAAAGATGTTGAAACTTTGAAAAAAGTGCAGAGAAGAGCAACTAAAATGATTAAAAGGCCTAGAAGTAAAACATATAAAGAAATGTTGCAGGATTTGGGTATGGCTAGTCTAGAGAAAAGAAGGACAAGGGTGACATGATAGCAGTATTCCAGATTTGACGGGCTGTCACAAAGAAGAGTGGATCAACATTTTCCAAAGCACAAGAGGGCAAGGTAAGAAAAAAAAATGATGGAAATTAATAAAGAAGAGAAGCAACCTGGAATTAAGGAGAAATTTCTTAACAGTGAGAACAATAAACCACTGGAACAGATTTTCTTCAGAAGTTGTGGGTGCTTCATCACTGGATGTTTTCTATGAAGAGACTGGACAGTCACTTGTCTCAAATGGTATAGGTTTCCCTGCTTGAGCAGGTGGTTGGACTAGAACAGGGGTGTCAAACTCGCTTCGTCATGGCAGCATCACGTGATTTATCAGGACTTTTTCCCCCTTCGCTAAACTAGGTGGGGGTGTGGCCAGCACATGATGCATCCAGCCCACAGGCTGCGAGTTTGACACCCCTGGACTAGAAGATCTCCAAGGTCCCTTGGAGCTTGGAGCTCTATTCTGAATTGAACCAAATCTCATTTTTGCCAAGTCTGCTGAGATTTAACATGTTGTGTGAATTATACCATCTCCTTAAATAATGATATAGTTTAGCTACTTGAACATAATATGATGTGTGAATAGAGTAACCATGTTTCACTAATCCAAGTTTAGAATATGCCAACCTATTCAGTGAATATAATAAAGAAAGCATTGAGGAGGAGAATCATGTTAATTCAGGAAAAGCCTCAACAGATGAATTTCAATAGAAGTTCAAAGTTGTTGAACATAAAAACATTTGGGATTTTGAAAACATATTGCAAGCATCACCACAAATGGGTGTCAGGACAGATACAAAATGGCAATAAGTCTGAAATAAGAGCTGTGTAGTCAAGAAGAGATGCTCTTGAATATGCAAATGTTTGGCATGCAATACTCACAAACATCAAATAAAAATTTACAATGTTTCCTATGTTACTGTTTTAAATGAGCCATGGTGGTGTGGTAGTTAGAATGCTAACTCACTGCTCACTGCCAGGAATTCGATCCTGACTGGTTCAAGATTAACTCAGCCTTCCATCCTTCATAAATTGGTAAAATAAGGATCAAGATTAGAGATGGCTGTAAAGCACTGTGAAGCGATATATAAGTCTAAGTGCTATTACTATTGCTAAAAGAGTCATTGCTAGAGTACGTATTGCAGTCTAATTCTGCTCACTGCCAGGAATTCAGCCCTAACCAGCTCAAGGTTGCCTCAGGCTTCCATCCTTCTGAGATGAGTAAAACAAAGGACCCTGATGGTTGGCGGCAATATGCTGACTCTGTAAACCACTTAGAGAGAGCTGTAAAGCACTATGAAGTAGTATATAAATCTAAGTACTAGTGCTATTGATATTAAACATTCACTGATCACTACTTCTGCCAGCATCTATAGAGCAGGGGTGAAATGCTACTGGTTTGTTCCGGTTCGGGAGAACCGGTAGCAGCGGTGGTGCATGGTTTGGCAAACCGGTAGCGGTGGCAGCACAAGGCTCCGCCCACCCACCCGGACGTCATTACTTCCTGGTTTTAACCAGGAAGTAACCTGTTTTTGACCCTTTGCACATGCGCAGAAGGCTTTGCGCGTGCGCAGAGGGTCTAAAATCAGACGTGAAGATGGCACGTGTGCTCGCTCTGCTCACGTGCATGCACAGGGTGCACACTTCCAAACCAGTAGGGAAGGTAAGTAGATTTCACCCTTGCTATAGAGCAAAAAATCTTGGATCCAATGTAAGTTAATGTCAATTTAACTTAAAAGGTATTTTAGGGAACATCACATGTTAGTATAGAATGCAAGCAGTTTCAAAGTTTTATTTGAATCAAACTACATTCCATCAGGACATCCAGTATGAAATCTGCCTTTACTGTTAAATAACCAGATATTTGCTTTCACTGGTATTTTCATCAGGCATTTTGATACATACCCAGTGAAGAAATCCTGCAGCTGTGAGCCAGGTACTGACAAATACAGCAAGAAGTTTGGACAGCTTGATTGCAGTACTGAACATGCAAAGAGAGGGTTGATATGGATGAGTTTCAAAGGAGTAGGTGCAACATTCACCTCCATTTAATCCTTTGAGGCTCTTCCAAGTGAGGCACATGTTCTTAACTCAAGTAGACATTGATTGATTGATTTATTAATTACATTTCTCATCCTGTTTTTGGCCCTGTAGATCCCACAGTGACCCATGGAGGGAGAAAACTAATAATAATAATATCATAGATACAAGGTTTTCATTCCCCTTTCTGCTACCAAAGGAATCAAAGCATTAGAGATCTTCTATCAGCTCATTGTGGCAGAGTTTGAATTGCTACAATTCAGACAGAGTAGGCAATTTGTCCTAGGTTCTTTGTACTCAATTATTTTAACTTACCCCAGTTTTTTTTAATAAAACACTATTATAGAACAATCTCAGTGGTAGTTATATGTGCCGTATAGAATTGTTGGAGTGTTGGAACATCTTCAACTTCTAGAGGCAAGTCATTCCACTGATTAATTGTTGTAATTAGTTGTAATTGTTCTCCTTAGTTTCAGGTTGTTTCTGTTCTTGATGGAAACTGATTAAGGAGAGAACCAATCTGGAACTAAGAAGAAATTTCCTGACAGTTAAACAATTAATTAGTGGAATGACTTGCCTCCATAAGTTGTGGGTGCTCCAACACAGGAGGCTTTTAAGAAGGGATTGGACAATCATTTGTCTGAAATAGTATAAGGTTTCCTGCCTAAGCAAGGGTTTGGACTAGAAGACCTCCAAGGTCTCTTCCAACTCTGTTATTCTGTTTGTAATTTCCCGATGGAGTTGCTGATGCATCAAGAGAAAATCCCACAATGACTTCCGGTGGCTCCGAGAACGCCGATGGATGCTCCTTTAGGAGATCCAGCCCCGTGATTCCGTTAGCCGCTAGAACAGCGAAAATCAGCTGTCTAGCGGCTTGAAGCTCTCCCCCAGGGAAAAAGGGGGAGAGAAGAGCAGAAGGGTCTGGGTAGAGCTCCCCTAGACCCCCAGGGGTTTTTTTTTAAGCCTGGGGTTTGCAGGGTGAGAGCTCCCTGAAAGCTCTTCAGTGCTCCAGATCCGGGACGAGTCTGCTTTATGCAGAACAAGGCGTCGCGAACACACCAGCAATGCAATTTTAAGGATTATAAGAAACTTTGACCTTGGATGCTGGCAGAGCAAAATCAGGAGAACAAAAAATGCAAGTATTGAACTTTAACTCCGTTTAAAAGGGGAAAAAATGGCGCCTGAGGGCGTGAAAATGAAATTTATTAGTGAAAGTGCTTGTTAATGCTTGCAACATTGTTAAAGCTACTGGATTACACATCAAGAAAAAGATTTAAAGTGGAAGTGGAATGGAAAAGACTATGGTATTGACCTCAACTAATTTACACTTTTAAATTGTGTGGAAAATAATCGGACTTATTGACCTGATAGCTGAATAAATACAAAGTGAAAATTGAAATATGGCTGACATCAAGGATGGAGGATCATTATTATATGAGTCAGCAAACTCACAAGTTGTGACTGTAAAGGTTTTACAAGAACTCTTAAATTTTCATACTTCTGTTATATTAGAATCAATTAAAAGGACTGTTCAAAATCAAAACTTGGAGAATAACAATGATTTGCTGGCTGGAAAAGAGGAAGAAATTAACCAGGCTAATGTAACTTTGGAGGATAAAAAAGAGGCTGTCAGGATTAAGATGGAGGTTAGCACACTGGAAACAGAGGTTTTGGTAGAGGCTTCCATGCAATCAACTGAAAAGCAGCAAATAGACTCTTTACTGCAGACTGATAAATTTTACTGTGACAATCCTTGGCTTTACAGACAGAATCAATATTTAAGGAATGAAGTGATTGATTATATAAGCAGGAAGAGTCGAAATGGGGGTTCCAAATTAAAGGAAATAATTCTAAGAAAAGAACGAATTCCAAAGATACATCAACCTCAAATCCAAATTCAAAAATTCTCGAAAATAAAAGCAGGGGGAGGAGCAATGCTGAAGAAGAAAGTATTATTGAAGAAGAAGGACTGGAAAAAATATAGAAAGAAAGGAAGAATGGAAGATTAATTTCTTTTGGGGAGGATCTTAGTAATAAATCTGAAAAGTTTACTGAAATTAGTATTTTTTAAAGTTTATTTTAAGACAATGATATAAAAGAAGTGTTTTATTATATTTAGTTTTGGATATAATTTAAGGGATAGCCTTTTGAGGGTTATATTTTGAAGAATGTTTTATTGAAGTAAAAATGTTTAACTAAAAATGGATAGCTTTTTAAAAGTTATTGGGGTATTAAAATGGTTAACTTAAAATTTAATGGATAGTTTCCTGAAAGTTTTGAAATTTATATTTTGAAGAATGAACTCAAGATTTAGAAATAACTTAACCCAATGGATTAACAGTATCTTTAAGGTTATATTCTGAAGAATGTTTTATTGAAGTAAAAAGGCTTAATTAAAATTGGATAGCTTTTTAAAACTTATTGAAGTATTAAAATGGTTAATTTAAAATTTAATGGATAGTTTTTTTAAAAAGTTTTGAAACTTATATTTTGAAGAATGTCTTATTGATGTATTAAGAGATTTTAAAATGTTTAACCTAAGATTATAGTATTTTTAAAAGGTATACGTGACGAAATGTTTAAGTTAGACATAACTTAACTCAATGGATTAATAATATTTTTTTTTTTAAAAAAGACATGCTTTAAAGAAAGTTTTAAAATGTTTAATTTAGAATTTTACAAGGGAGTAATGTTGAACAAACAGAAATTGGCAAGTGATTTATGAATGACCAAAGAGGATAAATGTTTCATTTAAAATTTTATTAGGGAGTAATGCTGAAAAAGAAGGTATGGAAAGGATTTTTGTAACAAATGCGAAATGTGATAGGAGAATTTATAAAAGGAAGATTGATGAATAATTTTTAAAAGGGAGTTAAAGAGCGTGAGGGAGTTTTGAATCTTGTAGTAAGTTAGCATATTTTAGCTTATGTTTGTTAAATGTTATACCCTGTTTTTGCTCTGGGAACTTGGGGGGGGGGGCGTGGGGAGGGGAGGGCTGAAGGTTGTGTGGGGATAAAATTGTTGTATAATTTTTAATAAAATAAAAAGATAGATAAATGTATTACTAGAGAAATAAGAAATGTGGGGGAAATGTCATAATAAATGAAATGATAATATTAAGATATGATAAATACTGGAGGAGTAAGAAGAAGACACAAAAGATGTATTCAGATGATACACTGAATGATTGATTATGTATTGTTTGTTTGTTTGTTTATAAAATAAAAAAAACTTTTTAAATTAAAAAAAAGAGAAAATCCCACAAGATGAATCTAATTGAAACCATCAGAGACCCAAGTGTGAAGTATCTTAATCACCCAACTTTTACAGATTTTCCATATCTGTTACAACTCCCATAATTACCCATGAGTTATCTAAACCCAGGGGGAAAAAATCCATGTATAAAAAGTAAAACATTGGATCTATTTTTTTGGTAATGCAAAGACATATAACATTGCATTAGTACAACAGATACAACTCCATACTGCAGATGGAGTTATGAGACATATAAGTCTGTTTTGCCCAAACCAGAGTTTGTTTTGACCAACAAGTAGTGGAGAGCAACAAAGGTATGGCAAAGCTCTAACCATGAGCTAGTACAATGGAGAGCAATGAGCAAGCAGTAAAACTGACTTGCAAGGTGGACTGTTGGGAAAACAAGAAAACAGCTGGGAGATGTTAATTGGAGGTAAATTCTGAGAAGATTTGATATGATTCTGGATGAGGTATTTTTGGGGATGTTGAAAGTGAATCAATAGGAGTGGTCTAAATGGGAATTACATGCAGGAAAGTGCAAAATAAAGTTCAGAATGTTGGAGAAGTAGGCAACTCAGGAATAAAAAATATTTTTTTTTAGTGGAAAGTGCAAGTGTGAAAAAAAGAGTGGCAGACCTTGGGGGTGGAGTGAAAAGGGGGATCAGTCTAGAATTGCTATGTAGCTACAAATAAAGTCCAATTTTCCCTGAATGCCGTTACCCTTATCTAACTCTAAATTAGTACTGTTGGTTGACAAGATTCTTGTGCATAGGCTGTAGCAATAAATCAGTTTAATTGAATCTTCACTGGTCTTTTGTACATGCAAGAGGGATTATTAACCTTTGAGAGATACCTGCATAGGAAAATCTGAAGTCAATTTTACTTAGCTAACCTGACCAGAGTTATAAGCCCTCTCTTCAAATTGGGACAAAAGCAGTGGTGGGATTCAATTTTTTTAACAACTGGTTCTGTGGGCGTGGCTTATTTGGGTGGGCATGGCTTGGAGGTCATGTGACCAGGAGGGCGTGGCTAGCTGATCATGTGACCGGATGGCCGTGGCTATGTGTATAGGGACTACTCAGAGGGCTGAAAAAAGTCATTTCTGACCGGTCCTCGCACTTTTGACTGGTCCTCACACTTATGACCATCCTCACATTTATGCCCGTTGCAGTATTCTTAACAACCATGTCACTCATTTCACAACTGCTTCTCTTCAACATGGTGACAAGACAGGGCAAAAAACGTAAAATGTGAGGACAGTCATAAGTGCGAGAACTGGTGAAAAGTGTGAGGACTGGTCAAAAATAACTTTTTCAGCCCTCTGAGTAGTCCATATGCAAATAGGGACTCCCCAGAGGGCTGAAAAAAGTGATTTCTGGCAGTTCCTGATACTTTTGACCGTTCCTCGCACTTATGACTGGTCATAATTTATGCCCATTGCAGCATTCTTAACAACTGTGTCACTCATTTCACAACTGCGGTGCTTTGTGTGACTGGGTGGGCATGGCCAGGTGGTCATGTGGCATCGCTTCTTCGCCCTAATGACAGTTTGTTGCAATGGTCATAAGTGTGAAAAACGGTCATAAGTCACTTTTTCCAGGGCCATTGTAACTGTTGTAAATCAAGGATTACCTTTATAAAAATACAAAAAGCTTCTTTGCTTGCAAAAAGCTGCCCTAAATACCAATCATTAGATTAGAAATACCTGCAAACGAGTTACAAATCAAGGAGGGTGCCAGAGCACCTTGAGGAATTAAAATAGTTAAAATGCAGTGATAACTATCAGCAGCCAATTCTTGCTCACCCTTTAGCAGAGAGGTCATTTAAGCTCTCCAGAATGAAGCAAAGGAGCAAACAGAGTATCTGTTGCTTGTTAAACCAATTACCAGAACAAATACACACAGAACTAGTCAGATTCCCAAAGCTGCTTCTTTTCAGGAACAGAGATTAACATTTTTCCTTCCAAACAAAGATGAATAGAGAAAATTATCCCATCACTAAACACAGGATTAAACATCACCAAACACATAATTAAACTTCACCCAAAACCAGTTTTAGACCAAAAGTCAGAAAGAGTATGTAAACTCACATTTGAGTTTACAGCTAGCCAAGAAGTCTTGCTGAATGTCAGTCATCTTGGTTCCTTGTCATTAAAAGCTTCTGCTTCATTATTCAATTATTTCTTCAAAGTGCTGATCATTGCACCCTGGCTGGAAGAACTCCAATAGGGGAGTATTTCCTCCCGAAAGCGGTGTAAAAAGCTTAAAACAACCCTTTCCCTTTAAGAAAGTCAAGCAAAAAAAACTCTCAGAGAACCTCCAGAACCGGAAGTGCCAATAAGACTAGGCATACTGCCAGAGAGGCAGTTTCCTAAACAGGGCAATAAAGATTAGGCTAGGAAACAACACAGAATGTTGTAATTCCTTACAGGATTAACCCTGTAAAGTGGAAAAAAACAAAAGGAGATTTCTTTTAACAACTGGTTCTCCGAATTGCTTAACTACTTAACTACTTAACAACCAGTTCTACCGAACTGGTGCAAACCGGTAGAATCCCACCATTGGACAAAAATATCAACATATTTTGAGCTGGAGACAATTTTGATTTTGTTCTAGCTGACCACTGCACAAAAGCCAGTTGGAAGCAAAAAAGAGAGAGATAGCTTACTAATGACAAAAATAAAAATTGTCTTACCCACTAGTGGTAATTTGGAGGAATTGCAAAATTTTGGGAAGTTCCACCAATCTCAATGCTTTTAAGAAGCGTAAACCTATAAAGAGGAGGAAATGAGGAAATAGGTGAAATTGTGTTTTTTTTTTTTTTTGTTTGTTTCTGGTGATTGAAGTATGGCAACAACATTTAGACTGAAATAATGCATACCTATTTAACTAATTTCTAGGTGGTAGATGGTATTATTATCATTTTGCAGAGAATTAAAAGCCAAACACATGTGATATGGGATGGTTGCCATAAATATATATTTGATCACATTTAATGCCACATTAAATACAGTACATTACAGATAATCTGAAGTTACTGAATTCCACAAATACTTGCTAAATTTGAAACAAAATGGTTCTAGTTTATTAGAAGGAATCCTTTATTCACTGGAAATTCACTTGCCCTTAACAAACATCTCAGACGTTTTAGGGAAAAAATACTATTAATGTTCTCTCTTATTCTCGGGATGTTCTAAAAATTTTTCAAATTTCTCTTAATAGAGTTTTTATGCATACTTTAAACATGGAATTGGGAGAGAATTCTGCTGGTAATATTTGCATTATATCGCTCCTTTATTCTGATTCTCCCTCACCCAGCCTGAAAAAGCTCAATGGAAGAAGGTCCAATTTCCCTGGAAATTTAATGAATTTTTTTGTCTATCTGATGGCATAAAACAAAAGCAATAATGCCACATTCCAACTATGAGGATATTCTTCTGAAAGGAATTTCAAAAGGAAATTATGTTTTCATCGAATTACATAAGAAATAGAAATAGGAAAAAATGCAAGAATTGTTTTCTTAATGGCATTGATTAAAACCTTTCCTACACAACCACTGGAGGAATAGCATTAATGGTGTGAGAAGCCCCCACCCCCTCCTAGAGAATGATATATTTTGGGGAATATTAAAAGAGGTAGAATATTATATTTCCCCAAAGGAGAAATGGAGAAACATGTTCTTAGAGGCAGAAAGCAGCCCCCAGTCTTTCTTTCTTTCTTTCTTTCTTTCTTTCTTTCTTTCTTTCTTTCTTACTACTTACTTACTTACTTACTTACTTACTTACTTACTTACTTATTTATTTATTTATTTATTGAATTTTTATACCGCCCTTCTCCTGAAGGACTCAGGGCGGTGAACAGCCAGGATTAAAATACATACAATATGAAAATTAAAATAATTTAAAAAATAATTAAATCAATTTGGCTCCCCAATTTTAAAACCCCTTACCCATAAAATTAATCAATTAAAATTTTAAGCCAGCCCGGCTTGCTGAAACAAGAAAGTCTTCAGAGCCCGGCGGAAAGTACGGAGGTCCGGGATCAGTCGTATCCCTGGGGGTAGCTCGTTCCAGAGGGCGGGTGCCCCCACAGAGAAAGCTCTCCCCCATTGCTTGACCGATGGCACCCTGAGGAGACTCTCTCTGTGGGAGCATATTGGCCGGTGGGAGGTTATCGATGGCAGAAGGTGGTCTCGTAGATACCCAGGCCCTAAGCCATGGAGCGCTTTAAAGATGAGAACCAAAACCTTGAAGCACCCAGAAGACCACCGGAAGCCAGTGCAGCTTGCGCAGGAGAGGTGTGACATGGGAGCACCATGTCGCCCCCATAATCACCTGTGCGGCTGCATTCTGGACCAGTTGGAGCCTCCAGGTGCTCCTCAAGGGGAGCCCCATGTAGAGAGCATTACAGTAGTCCAGGCAGGAAGTAACGAGGGCATGAGTGACCGTGCATAAGGAGTCCCGATCCAGAAAGGGGCGCAACTGGCATATCAGGTGAGCCTGATAAAAAGTCCCCCTGGCCACAGCCGTCATATGCTCTTCTAAAGACAGCCGTGCATCCAGGAGGACACCCAAGTTACGAGCCCTCTCCGTGGGGGCCAATGACTCGCCCCCAATAGCCAGCGATGGCACCAGCTGGCTATATCGGGACACTGGCAACCACAGCCACTCAGTCTTGGAAGGGTTGAGCCGGAGCCTGTTCCTCCCCATCCAGACCTGCACGGCCTCCAGGCACCAGGACATCACTTCAAGGGCATCATAGGGGTGGTCTGGGGTGGAGATGTACAGCTGAGTATCGTCAGCATACAGATGGCACTGCACCCCAAAACCATGGATTATCTCACCCAGCGGCTTCACATAAATGTTGAACAGGAGAGGCGAGAGGACCGACCCTTGCAGCACCCCACAAACAAGGTGCCTTGAGGTCGACCTCTGCCCCCCTGCCAACACGGACTGTGACCGGTCAGAGAGATAGGAGGAGAACCACCGTAAAACGGTGCCTCCCACTCCCAACCCCTCCAGCCGGCACAACATGATACCATGGTCGATGGTATCAAAAGCCGCTGAGAGGTCTAATAGGACCAGAACAGAGGAGCAACCCCTGTCCCGAACCCTCCAGAGATCATCAACCAATGCGACCAATGCCGTTTCCGTGCTGTACCCAGGCCTGAAGCCAGACTGGAATGGATCTAGATAGACAGTTTCATCCAGGTACTGTGGGAACTGTTGCACAATCACACTCTCAACAACCTTCACCACAAAGTGAAGGTTGGAGACTGGATGGTAGTTTGCCAAAACAGCCGGGTTCAGAGAGGGCTTCTTGAGGAGGGGCCTTACCACCGCCTCTTTCAAGGCAGGGGGCAGGAAACCCTCACTCAAAGAAGCGTTAATAATCCTTTGGAGCCAGCCTCAGGTAACCTCCTGGGTAGCCAGCACTAGTCAGGAGGGACACGGGTCCAATAAACATGTGGTTGCGTTCAACCTCCCCAGCATTCTGTCCACGTCCTCGGGAGTCACAGGGTCAAACTCATCCCAGATAACATTCTCAAGACCCACCTCCGACATCCTGCCTGAATCCACCCAGTCAAAGTCCAAGCCTTCCCAAATTTGAGCAATTTTATTGTGCAGATAATGCGCAAAATCCTCCGCTCACCCTTGCAAGGAGTCTTCCCATGCTCCCAGGTGGAGAAGGGAGCGGGTCACCCTAAACAGGGCAGCTGGGCGGTTATCTGCTGATGCGAAAAGTAGTTACACTTCGCCGCTTTTATCGCCACTAAGTAGGTCTTGATATAAGACCTCACTAGTGTTCGGTCGGATTCGGAACGACTAGCCCTCCAACTAGTCTCTAGGCATCTTTTCCAGTGCTTCATCTCTCTCAGCTCCTCAGAGAACCAAGGAGCTGGGCAGGTTCGGCGCCGGGTCAGAGGCCGCAAAGGCACGACCCGATCTAAAGCACCAGTGGCCGCCCTATCCCAGGCGGCCACCAGGTCTTCTGTCAAGTCATGAGCCAGAGTCTCAGGAAATGGCCCAAGCTCCATTTGGAATCTATCAGGATCCATCAGGCGCCTGGGGCGGAACCACCTAGTCAATTCCGCCTCCCTGCGGTGGGGTGTAGCGGTCAGAAAGTCAAGCCTAAGGAGAGAATGGTCTGACCATAACAAGAGTTCAATGGCTATATCCCCTGTATCTAGACCATTCAACCAGTGACCAGAGACAAAAATCAAGTCCAGAGTGTGTCCTCCTGTGTGAATAGGGCCATGAATTAACTTGGTCAGGTCCATGGCTGTCATGGAAGCCATGAACTCCCGAGCCACCTCAGAGGTTTCACCGATGGACAGCAGGTTGAAATCCCCCATGACCAAAAGCCTGGGGGTATCAACTGCCACCCTGGCTATAACGTTGAGGAGCTCTGGCAGGGCCGCTGCCACACAGCAGGGAGCCAGGTATGCAATCAGCAAACCCACCTGCATCCCATGGCCCCACTTCACAAGGAGAGACTCACATCCGGCTATCTGAGGTACAGGTGGCCTCCCTAGGATCAAGACCTTCCTTTACAATAACCGCCACCCCCCCACCCCTACCCTGGGCCCTCAGCTGATGGAATGCGCGGAAACCCAGTGGGGACATCTCTATGAGGGGGACCCCCCCTCCTGGCCCAACCAGATCTCTGTAATACCCACCAAGTCCGCTCCCCCCTCCTGAATCAACATGCAGATGAGGGGGGCTTTGTTGACCACGGACCTGGCGTTGCACAGCATCAGCCTAATACACGGGCTCTTAATAGCCTACAGCAGATGCATGAAGTCTTTAGAGCTATTTTGTGCCCATTAAGAAATCCTAGGCCATTAAGTGATGGGATTAAAATTTATATCCTTCACCCACCCAGATTCTAAGAACAGGGTGTGATCTTTTAGGACATAATAGGATTATCCACCACCATTAGAATAGCAAAAGATACCAGGCTTACTACATTGCACAATCCCTGCAGCATTTCAGAAACTGATAAAAATCCTTGCACTCATCAAGCTAATTTGTCAGCTGTCCCAGAACTGTACACTGTGGTTCTGTTCATCAATAAACTTTCTTTCTTAAGCAGCTTCCATTTTATTCCCAGCTTGGAACTGAACCAGATGATTTTTTCCTACAATGGTTACCATGTTCAGTTGCACCTTGGTGAGATATTAAACATTTTTTGATACCTGCTTTGGATCAAAATACACAATTCCAAATTAGATAAGCTTCTAAAGTTAAGTGTGATGATTAAAGCATTGGACAAGGACCCAGGAAACATAGATTCAAGACTCATATCTATAGACATTTTGCAAATATTTTCCATTTTAAAGTGGCTCCAGATTTTGTGTGTTTGCAGACATCATTGTCAAAGAAAGTTCAAGGAGCATAGACAGAGACTTGACAGCTACTGTACATTCCAAGTTTTTGGTTTGTCTCTTTTTGGTTTACCACAACTCATAAAATGGTTTCATAAATTGAAATGTCCCAAAGGTCATTTTTAAGAGGCAACTGGATTTTCTCTGTTTTTCCTTGAAGATGTTTTGCTTCTCATCCAAGAAGATTCTTCAGTTCTGGAGAGAACTGAAGAAGATTCTTGAATGAGAAGCCAAATGTCTTCAAAGAAAAACAAAGAAAGTCCAGTGGCCTTTTTAAAAAGCACCTTTGGGACAACGATGACCTGGATGACTGAAAATTCCATAGAAACATACAACTGAGGTGTGTACTTACCAAGCCAATTTTTTCCTAGATAGAAGGCTATACAGACTGGAGTTATGGTGAAGAAATCCACAATGGAATTAAGCTCCAACCAGAATGCTAGCTTGTCACTTGCTGCCAAAAACTACAAAATAAACACAAAAACAAAGAAAACCACAGCACTGCACATAGTCAGAGATAATGAAACTATTCTGTCCCTATCTGGTCTTTTTTCTTCATGATGTGATCAGACTTCAAAAAAGAAGAGGCAATGTCAAATGAGAGCCCACAGCCTGAGTGATATACAGTAGTTATTTTTCCCCCAGACTTATCTTAAATTTAGAGTAGGAAATTAATAGTTCTATCAGTGTAATAATTTGTCAATTCTATCAGTGTAGTAATTTGTATTTTGTACTTTTGTTTTTCTGCATACTTCTCTAAACTAATACAATTTTGTATTCATTATAAGTCTCCTTTTGGTGAGATGGATAGAAAATAAATTTAATAAATATGTAAAATTGTCAAAAAGTGTGCTCATTTTCACAGATAGATATTTCACAAATAGATATATCACAGATAGATATACTTTTCTACAAATTATTTTAAAAAGTACTCAAAAATTGGAAGAATGTGAAAATTACAGAATCATTGCATTGCTATTCAGTTGGCTTAAGAAAATGAGAAATAGGCATGTTTGTATTACAATCCACATTGCATTACAAATTTAAACAAATTTCTGAACCATTCCTAGATCTCTCCTTCTTATTCTCTTTCACCCAACACTTTTAAAATATTTTTAATTGCAAATATTTCTTACCCGCAATCCAAAATGCAGAAGAAAAAATACATTAAAAAATAGATCGATCACAATTGTCTGGTCTTCAAAGGTGAGACAAAACTCTTTAACACTGTAGTAAAGGGAAAATTATTGTTTATGATTTATGAGTAATCATTGTTTATATTAAGACAAGACTTTCATTAACTTTTTGAAATCAACCCATAGCAATTCTTTAAAACAATCAGATTGCATATTTTCATCAGAAAAGCATTCCTCAAAAATTTTTTAATAATCATTAAGAAAAATCAGAGCAGGAAGAGAATTGGAAATTAGAACTGTCAAGTGTCTGATTTCATTCGTAGGAAAACTACATGTCTTCATGAAATTCATTACTGGGAGATAAATTTGTGTGTGATTGGCTCTAAATTCAGATGTGTGGACTCTATCAACAAACACAACCACCCTTCCATGGTGCTGGCCAGGATTCAAATCATTGCCCAGGCAGAGAAGGGAGCTGCTTCTTAACCTGGAAAGCCTTTGTCATAGCAAAGGAAGGAGCCAGAGACTACACAAAGAAGGAGTTACATACAGTATATGCCCACATCTGAGGCTAGAAAACTAAAAAAAGACAAAAAAAAGTGAAGAAGAGCAACAAAGATGATTAGACAGTTAGAAGCTAAAACATACAATGAAATTTGCAGGAACTGGGTATGTCTAGTCTAGAAAAGAGAATGACTAAATGTGACATGATAACAGTCTTCCAATTTGAGGGGCTGACTCAAAGAAGAGAGGGACAATCTATTCTCCAAAGCACCTGAAATCAGGACAAGAAATAATGGATAATGTTTGATGGAAATTCATAAAGGTTATTTATACAATAATGTCACAAAATGCATATCATCATTTGGCCCCCTTTGCCTCCCTACGGATTCCATTGGAAATACAGATTATGCTTCATACACACACACACACACACACACACCAAACGTTGGCTTCTATACAAAAGAGTACTTCAGTGTAAAGCATTTGATATTAACATGATTTAATTGAATAATCCAAAAGCTGGCAGCATTTGAGCCAAACCATATTCACACTGTACACTGCAGAATATCCACAAGTAGAATTTCAAATTTTATTTGACATTTTTGACAGTTTCCACATTTTGTGTTGTTGACAAGTGAGGAATGACAGAATGAAATTGCCAAAACTGGTTTGATTTGCATTTTGCAAAATGATGCTGCTGTTTTTTTCCAACCAATTAGTGGAAAAAGAAATCTCGTGTTTGAAAAATGTGGCTTATATTGTTCAAAAGTGAAAGATGTTCCAGCTGTAAGTATCAAAAAGATATGGTAGTTGTTTTCACCTCATGGTGTACTCCAGAAGCTTATGTGTATGCACATCCTGAATTTAGGATACTGACCAGTTAAATGCACAACTTTAGCAGAATATGGATATTGTAATTTAATGCAAAAGTACTAGACTAAAAAGAGAATTACAGGTAGTCCTCGACTTACAACAGTTTTAGTAACTTATCAAAGTTATAATGGCACTGAAAAAAGTGACATATGACTGTTTTTCACAGTTATGACCTTTGCAGCATTCCAATGATCATGTGATCAAAATTCAGATGCTTCATTACTGGTTCATATTTATGACCATTGCTATGTCCCAAGGTCATGTGATCACCTTTTGCAACCTTCTGACAAGCGAAGTCAACGGGGAAGCCAGATATACATTGCTATTTAGATAGTGATAGTAAAGACAAATACATTAGAGACAGGCAGACAGAGAGAACTTAGAACTGATCATACAACTGTTCTTAGGGATATGAAAGAATAACATCACAGATGCTTCTGATGATGAATCTGTGTTCTTTCTTCCCAATTGAACCGTAATGGGATAAATACAAGCAGGAATAAAATCTTACTAACATCTCTCAGCTTTAAAACTTTGGAAGTTGACTCAGCTATTCTTTTGTTTTAGAACTAAACATTCCAGATGTTTGTAACAGCATGGGGCTCTCCTTGGATGCTGTGTTCCTCTTTCTGGAATGACTGCATGTCTATACACCACGGTGTCAAACAATCATACTAGGAAGTGCTGCAAAGCAGCTGTAGCGCCTCTGCAGAAACCTTGCTGCTTTGAGTGTGCAGGGCATTTCTGCACATTCAATGACAAAAAAGAAATGAGCTTCTGATCCTCCATTGCCCCTAAACAGACAACAGCTTTTAGATCCAGACATCCATATATACCAGTCTGGTGTAGTGGTTAAGGCATCAGGATAGAAACCAGAAGACTGTGAGTTCTAATCCCACCATAGGCAAAAAGCCAGCTGGGTGACTTGTGCTAAGGCTAGTCCTTCTCTCTCAGCCCTAAGAACAAGGGCAAGCCACTTCTGAAAATTCTTGCCAAGAAAACTGCAGAAAATGTATTGTTGTCTACAGCAGATGGCAGTATCTGGCCAAGTTAAGCAGGATAAGATCTAATTCATACTTTTATGGGAAACCATAAAATTCCACGGCTGTGGGCTATATTGGAAATTAACCACAAACAAACATAGCACACAATACCCTAGGAGGAGGCAACAGCAAATCGATTTTCTATTCTTACAAGAAAATATGCACATGAAATAGCTAGGGGTTGAACTCAATTTAATTTAGTATGTGGTAAATTTAATGTATTTCTGTCCATTGATTAAATGTTTTTTTTTTACCAAAGGAAAGAAGGAGGGAGAGAAACATTTTTAAAAAGCCACTATATTTTGATAAAAATTAACAGAAGACATGTGAAATATGTTTTTTAAAGGAATACATGTACATTGGATAAATTACAAGGTTCTAATTACCTGTAACAGTTGATGAAGTAAATGATGAGTGACCCAATACTAAATAGGAACACCAGTATTACCTAAAACAGAAACCTACGTAATTAATTCACTCTTTATTTGCCAATCTAATTCAAAACCAGAGGTTTCTAGGGTTTCTAGTTTTTTTTAAGCACAAGGCCATATCTGACATTTAAAAGAGCCTTGGTGGTGCAGTGGTTAGAATGCAATACTGCAGGCTACTTCTGCTGACTGCCAGCTGCCAGCAGTTTGGCAATTAGATTCTCACTAACCCAAGGTTGACTCAGCCTTCCATCCTTCCAAGGTCAGTAAAATGAGGACCCAGATTGTTGGGGCAATATGCTGACTTTGTAAATGGCTTAGAGAGGACTGTAAAGCACTGTGAAGAGGTACATAAGTCTAAGTGCTATTGCTATTGGCTGTCATAGTGAGTGGCGTAAGAATAAAAAAATCTATTTCATATCCTCCATTACCACTTCAATGTAATATACATAAAATATAAACCAGTGATTATCTCCAGTTTGTTATAACAATCTGGCCACTCTTAAACTTTTCAATTAAATAATGCGAGCATTAGACTCTCTCATACAGCCCTAGGAAGGAGGCCATGACAAACCATCTCTGAAAAATCTTATCAATGAGGAGTCTTTGGTGCTCTTTAAACTTGATTGTTTTCTGGCAGACATTTCATTACCCAAACTAGGTAATATAACATCATTAGTACTGATGATGTTACCTAGTTTGGGTAATGAAATGTCTGCCAGAAAACAACCAAGCTCAGAGAGTACCAAGGATTTCTCATTTCAAACCTGAGCTACAAATATTTTTTTCTATGGAAATCTTGCCAAGAAAACCACAGACTTAGTCCAAGAGCTGTCCAGGAATCAAAACACTGATCTTAAGGAAGGAAAGCTACATTTGGAATGGCCAGAGGAAAACACAGGAACTGAGATAAACCTGTTTGAAGATGCTTAATGTTCTTCAATATTAATTGCGGTGAATCAATCATCTAAACTGGCTATCTTTACAAGTTAGTCTTTCAGATATTTCATGTGATTTTTTTCCAAAAGGTGGCAGCAATTTAATTCCTGAATTGATGGTACTAACAATCTTTTTTTCCCCACCTACCAACAGTATCGCCACTCACCTGCTTACGGTAATCAATATTTAAGTTTTTCCTCAAAATTTAACTGTTCTGTGAAGGGTTTATCCTAGCTCTTTATTTTATACACCCCTGTTGTTAAGCTGATTTAAGAGCAAAGCAAAGTCAAATATGGTTAAAATTTGGAGGGAAATTAAGATATTGCTAAACTAGGAAATTGGAATATCCTGGATGAAGGCAAAGACAGATTTTTATCATATATATATATATATATATATATATATATATATATATATATATATATATATATAAATAAATAAAAGCAAAAACCCCATAAAGTCCATATCCATGAATTTTTATCATATATATATATATATATATATATATATATATATATATATATATATATATAAAAGCAAAAACCCCATAAAGTCCATATCCACGAATTCATCCAGAGTTGAATTCAATTCAAATGAGATTTGACATAATATTTCACATGTAATTATAGTAAATACATAGTCATCCTCCCTTTCATTAGATATGTGTTCATTGTTTCACCTGGATTCCACTTTATGATAAAAAATATTCCCCATTGCCTTTAGCTTTTTTGTGTTTATTTTTAGTGTGTAAGGTACTTGAAGCAATAGACCTATTAAACCTGTTTTAGTAACACCAAAGCAGGAAGCTTATCAGTCATTTATTTTTTCCATGACACCATTTCATTTTAAGTGGATTACATGAAATCTTCTCTCGCAGGGTTCGGTACCACTTTTCTTCCTGCATTTTTATAAATCTTGGGATACCTTTAGACTTGCTGATGCATGGTAAATTCTATTTTAGTAACCTAAGCATTGACTCTTGTGTCTAATCATCAAATACTGAAATAATCATGAAATCATTCTGCAGTATAATTAATGAATATTCACCTACAATATTTTAGACACCTTTAAAATAACTTACCAGAATACGGCCTATAGATGTCTGAGCTGAGATCATCATTATCACCCTGTCTTGAAACTTTCCTTTCCAGAAACTCAGCAATTTCATCTTATTGGTAAACAACTATCAAGATAAAAGTAAATGTTAAGATTTTACCCTGCTGGTCTACATTAAAATAAGGGTATTAATTAATTGCCCTCTGTGTGCCTCTTATATGGTGCAGGCCAAACATTTATTCTGGAATTGCTGTCAAACAGATTTATTTAGTTATTTGGCTACTGCGCAACCAAAATTCAATTTTAGGATTACAACAGAATACCAAAGTTGGAAGGGGCCTTGGAGGTCTTCTAGTCAGAACACCTGCTCAGGCAGGAAACCCTATACCATTTCAGACAAATGATTATCCAATCTCTTCATAAAAACTTCCAGTGAATTATGAACCATGAAGTATGACTTCTGGAAAGGAACACCCGCAACTGAAATGCCACTATCTTATCAGGGTGTTATAATAGAAAACAAAATCAGAAACCTATTTCCCAAAAAGAAAATTAAATGTTACCAGGAAATATCCTGATCTATCATTTTATAGTTTATATTCTACTTCTTCCTAAATGTGGTGAAATTCAAATGATGGTAAAATAGAGTTTGTTTTCTTCACGGGATGGAGTGTGGGTGTCCATAGGTAATTAGGGAATACTGTAAATAAGCAATGAATATCAAATTAATACACCAATAATATGCAATCAACGTACTAATTCTACATCAGAATTATCAGAAAAGCCCAATATATTCCACTTCCTTTACATGTAACTCTCTATCAGATTTTAACTTCATGAGTATGGTGTGCAATATTCAGATATACAATCCTAACAATTCCCAGCCACATTTTCTTTTTATGACTTATAAAGCATGCTTACCTGAAATTGAATGGAATATCTAAAGAAGCACCTATGTAATATGTATCGGATTACTCTGACCATCAAGATGATAATGATACCTCCCACAAAAATAAAGAGACAAGAAGTGATAAAGGCCAGCTGGACAAAATCAGTACAGTGGCTTCCAGATTTTTCAGACCAGTTGTTGGTGAACTGAGAAGTACTTAGGACTACTGGCTTGTCAGCCATTTTTTCCACTTCCTTTTTGTTCCCTTGGGGAATTCTAAGAAATTCTATTCCTTTGCAGAATCTTTATGATGTCACTTCCACTATGCAGACAATCTCTCTCTCTCTCTCTCTCTCTCTCTCTCTCTCTCTCTCTCTCTCTGTGTGTGTGTGTGTGTGTGTGTGTGTGTGTGTGTGTGTGTGTGTAAGAGAGCGAGAGAGCAAGAGAGAGAGAGAGCTTATAAAACCACAAATGATGGGTCCTTGGTGCTCTCTGAACTGTTTTCTGGCAGATGTTTCATTACCCAAACAAGGTAACATCAGTGCTAGTCTGATGATGTTACCTAGTTGGCAAGAAAACAACCAAACTCAGAAAACATCAAGGGCTCCTCATTTCAACCCTGAGCTAAAAATATTCTTTATTAGACCTATCATGCAGAAACCACAGGCTTGAATAGAAAATTAGTTTCCCTTCAGGTGTTTTGTAAAATATGTCACTATTACTACCTAATTGACAAACAGACTAAGGCTTCTTCTCTTTATATTCATTTACATAATTTATATTGAAGGATTATACCCAGGGATCACTTCATGAAAATTCATGGCTAATAAAGAAGCAATGGATGGAAACTAATCAAGGAGAGAACCAACTTAGAACTAAGGAGAAGTTTCCTGACAGTGAAAACAATAAACCAGAAATTGCCTCCAGAAATTGTGGGTGCTCTAACACTGGAGATTTTTTATGAAGCGATTGGGCAGCTATTTGTTTAAAATGGTATAGGGCCGTGATGGCAAACCTATGGCATGTGTGCCAGAGGTGGCACGCAGCGCCCTCTCTGATGGCATGTGAGCTGTCGCCTCAGTTTAGCTTCGCTCCACTGCACATGCGTGCACACTTCCCATTGGCCTTCAGGTCTCTGCTGCGCATATGTGGGTGGCGCACACACATGTACAGGGGGTAGGGCACATGTCGGAGGCCACATGCACATACATGGGGGGTGGGGCATGTGCGGGGGCTGCAAGCACATGCCCAGGAAGCTGGGGCACATGCATGGGGGCCATGTGCACATGCATGGGGGGGCGAGGCACATGTGTGGGGACTGTATGCACATAGCATTTTGGGTGTTCAGGCGCATGCACATGCATTCACAAGTGCACGCGTGCACTTTGGACACTCAGCCCGGAAAAGGTTACCCATCACTGGTATAGGGTTTCCTGCTTGAGCAAGGTTTGGATTAGAAGACCTTCCAAGGTCCCTTCTAACTCTATTTTCTATTATAAACATAGAGGTGTTTCCTCCTGACCTGGCAATTCTTGGAATCTTAATATGTTTTTTACTTCTTCACAGCTCCATTAATGTTTTTAGAAATACAGAAAGAATTAATGGATCATAGGTCACATCTACTTTGGCTTGAAGGCAGAAGGAAAGGACTTCTCCAACTACCAGAAGAAGAAAAAAACTCCAAGTATTACTTTCTACAAATTGCTAAATAAAGTACAACAGACCACTTTTCTCTAATCAAGTCTTGAAGTCCCCTTGCAGCTGCTGGGATCAGATGTGCTACTGAGCTCAACCAACTTACACCCTACTGAAATGTAATCTCATCCAACCCTTTAGGATTTCTGAAAAGACTTTTTTAATCTTTTATGTAGCTGATGGAAGAATAATATTGCAATCAGTTTCCCCTTCATGCAATCAGAACAGCTGAGTGGGAGAGTGATGATTTTATCTGAAAAGAGGACACATGCTCAGTAAGAAAACAACAGCTCGCTTACTGGCATGGGAGGTCATGAATACATAAGACAATACAGTGGACTTCAAATGCAGTGATTAGTTGATGCCCTTTCTTCTTTCTTTCTAAAAGCCAGAGGAGCCCATTTGCAGACAGAGCATCTGGATCCAGACAGAAAGACAATGACATAATCTGCCAATAGCAGCCATTTTGCAACTCTGAGAAAATGATTCTTCTTATTCAACTGAAGGCCATATATGGAGTCTTTCTGACTAATGGCATAATTATAATCATCTCTCCTTTATAGATATCTTAATACATCAACTAGCATTTACTAAAAATGTTCCAGCATTTAGCCTATAAGGGAGGCCTTATTGTGAAGGTTATGATTCATTTTGTGAAGGTATTATTCTTGATAATTCAAAACTTACTTTCCCAAAAGATGAAAGTAAATCAGACTCCCTCCCCCACTATTTTAATATTGATTAAGATGTGTCAGGATTGCAGTACTCAGAATTCCAAATCACAGTTAAGAATTCTGGAAAAATCAGGCTCAACTCATCTGGAAAATACCAGGTTGGAGAAGGTTAAGACAACAAGATAAAGTATTTTCTTGGCTGGTCTCTCTAGCATCAGTTTATTCAATCTATATGATCATACTGCAGGAGAAGGGCAGATAGAGCTGGAGGGTGAAGTTAAATAAATCATCAGCTCAAAGTTATTGCATTCCCACATTGGTTCCAAGTCCAATCACTCCTGAATTCCATCGACCCTTATCTAGCACCAATTTAGTACTGAATTTTATTTATTTATTTATTTATTTATTTATTTATTTATTTATTTATTTATTTAAATTTGTATACCGCCCTTCTCCCAAAGGACTCAGGGCGGTGAATAGCCAAAACTAAAATACATACAATATAAAATTTAAAATAACTTAAAAGCAGAATTAAATCGAATTGGTTTCCCAAAAATTAAAACCCATTACCCTTAAAATAACCCATTAAAATTTTAAGCCAGCCCAGCTTGCTGAAATAGGAAGGTCTTCAAAGCTCGACAGAAGGTACGGAGGTCTGGGATTAGTCGTATTCCTGGGGGTAGCTCGTTCCAGAGGGTGGGTGCCCCCACAGAGAAGGCTCTCCCCCTGGGGGTCGTCAGTCGACATTGCTTGACCGACGGCACCCTAAGGAGGCCCTCTCTGTGGGACCGAGTTGGCCGGTGGGAGGTTATCGGTGGCAGAAGGTGGTCTCGTAAATAACCGGGCTCTAAGCCATGGAGTGCTTTAAAGGTGAGGACCAATACCTTGAAGCACACCCGGAAGACCACCGGAAGCCAGTGCAGCTCGCGCAGGCAAGGTGTCACATGGGAGCACCATGTCGCTCCCATAATTACCCACGTGGCCGCATTCTGGACCAGCTGGAGCTTCTGAGTGCTTCTCAAGGGGAGCCCCATATAGAGAGCATTGCAGTAGTCCAGGCGAGAGGTGATGAGGGCATGAGTGACTGTGCATAGGGAGTCCCTATCCAGAAAGGGACGCAACTGGCGTATCAGGCAAACCTGATAGAAAGCCCCCCTGGCCACGGCCGTCATATGCTCTTCTAAAGACAGCCATGCATCCAGGAGGATGCCCAAGTTGCGAGCCCTCTCCGTGGGGGCCAATGACTCACCCCCAATAGCCAGAGATGGCACTAGCTGGCTATATCGGGATGCCGGCATCCACAGCAACTCGGTCTTGGAAGGGTTGAGTTGAAGCCTGTTCCTCCCCATCCAGACCCGCACGGCCTCCAGGCACCGGGACATCACTTCAAGGGCATCGTTGGGGTGGCCTGGGGTGGAGATGTACAGCTGAGTATCATCAGCGTACAGATGGCATCGCACCCCAAATCCACGGATGATCTCGCCCAGCGGCTTCACATAAATGTTGAACAGGAGAGGCGAGAGGACCGACCCTTGCGGCACCCCACAAACAAGGTGCCTCGAGGTCGACCTCTGCCCCCCCCAGCCAACACAGACTGCGACCGGTCGGAGAGATAAGAGGAGAACCACCGTAGGATGGTGCCTCCCACTCCCAACCCCTCCAGCCGGCGCAGCATGATACCATGGTCGATGGTATCAAAAGCTGCTGAGAGATCTAATAGGACCAGGACAGAGGAACATCCCCTGTCCCGAGCCCTCCAGAGATCATCAACCAACGCGACCAATGCCATTTCCATGCTGTACCCAAGCTTGAAGCCAGACTGGAACGGATCCAGATAGACAGTTTCATCCAGGTACTGTGGGAACTGTTGCGCAACCACACTCTCAACAACCTTCACCACAAAGCGAAGATTGGAGACAGGACGGTAGTTTGCCAAAACAGCCAGATCCAGAGAGGGCTTCTTGAGGAGGGGCCTCACCACCACCTCTTTCAAGGCAGGAGGTAAGGTACCCTCACTCAAGGAAGCGTTTATAATCTTCTGGAGCCAGCCTCGTGTAACCTCCCGGGTAGCCAGCATCAACCAGGAGGAACACGGGTCCAATAAACATGTGGTTGTGTACAACCTCCCCAGCATCCTGTCCACATCCTCGGGGGTCACAGGGTCAAACTCATCCCAGATAACATTCTCAAGACACACCTCGGACAACCCGCCTGTACCCACCCAGTCAGAGTCCAAGCCGTCCCGAATCTGAGCGATTTTATCGTGCAGATAATACGCAAAATCCTCAGCACGTCCTTGCAAGGGGTCTTCCCATGCTCCCAGATGGAGAAGGGAGCGGGTCACTCTAAACAAGGTGGCTGGGCGACTATCTGCCAACACGATAAGAGCAGAGTAGTTACACTTCGCCACTTTTATCGCCACTAAGTAGGTCTTGATATAAGTCCTCACTAGTGCTCTGTCAGATCCAGAACGACTAGCCCTCCAACTACTCTCTAGGCGTCTTTTTCGGCACTTCATCTCCCTCAGGTCTTCGGAGAACCAAGGAGCTGGGCCGATTCGGCGCCGGGTCAGAGGCCGCAAAGGCACGACCCGATCTAAAGCACCAGTGGCCGCCCTATCCCAGGCGGCCACCAGGTCTTCTGTCAAGTCGTGAGCCAGAGTCTCAGGAAATGGCCCAAGCTCCATCTGGAACCTATCAGGATCCATCAGGCACCTGGGGCGGAACCACCTAGTCGGTTCCGCCTCCCTGCGGCAGGGTGTGGCAGTCAGAAAGTCAAGTCTAAGGAGAGAATGGTCAGACCATGACAGGGGTTCAATGACTATATCCCCTATATCTAGACCATTCGACCACTGACCAGAGATAAAAACCAAG